GTATTGTCGGGACTTAGATACTAGGTGAATTCTACTTTTTACTTTTGGTCATTTCTGAGATTTTCTATTCATCAAAACCCATCAAAGCCTTGTATAAGTTAATGATTTCAGGTAGGAGAAGGAGGAGGGCTGGCGAGATTTATCAGATTCCTTGGAGGGAGTTTTTCAAACCACACACAGATACTACCCCTCTAAGCACTTGCTGGTGCAAATGTGAGAGTGTATCATCTTCCTCAGCAATATAGAGGTAGAGACAAAGGTGAGAAACACCATCTTAATGTACTTGGCTCTTTCATGCTAAGATGCCTTGAGAACCTAAACTCTATGAGAATGTCTACTTCATTCTTGCAAAGGTGTGAATACAAGCAAATTCTAAGACTGGTTTAGTTGGCAGAGTGGAATGGCCTTCACATACTAAGCCAGGAGCTTTTCCAAGTGCCAGACTATTGGGGAGAATTTGTAGGGATTCATAACCTTCTTCACAAGTTCCTTGAACACTGCAAAATGAAACATCACAAGCCGACCATTTCTCAGTTGTTTTCTTCTTGATTAGCCTGAGTGGCTGATCCCATTTCTGATGTTCAGAGGAGGACTGCTTGCCATCTGACAACATGTAAATGCAAATTGTTGTGTTTTCAAGAGCAAAAATCTATTTGAAGGTAATAAGATGCTTTGGTGTTTTGGTGATGTCACTTTGATGATGTTAGTTTATTTTTTGGCCTATAAAATAACCATTTAGCAAATTATTTGCTCTTAAAGAAGACAGAGAAAGAAGGGCAAGTACTATGACTAGAAAAGCAAAATTGAAAAATCTTATATGGGTTTGCAAGTCTTGGCAAGTCTTTTAATTTTTTTTTTAATGTTATCTACATTTAACTCCCTGAACAAACTAAAGAAATTGAGTCAGAAATGATTTTAAATTTTATTGAAAATGATTATTTTGCAAGAACAGTACATTTTTTAAAAAAACATGTTTAAAGAAGTATTTACAAAAAGACAATATCCTTTAAAAAGCTACCCCCGCAGGAATAGATTTTGAAGAAATTGCACAGACACATCCAGGTAGAATTTGGTTCCTCCCTCACTAATCCTTAACATTCATCAAGAATTATTTAATCTGAACTCAGTTCTGCCTCCAGGGAGAAGTATTTCTTTCTAATTTGTTCTGAATTCTTAGTTTGGAGGCAGTCTAGGAGGATAAAAAAAGTCCTCCAGTAGAGGATGGGACACTCATCTACATTCTAGGTCAGCTGTCTGTAGATGAAGAAATCTGCAGTTACGAGAAATCAGGAACCGGTTGCAAGTAAGACTTTAAGTGGTTCAGGTATTATGGGGAGGTGTCAGCAAGTGTCTGCGATCAAGAAACTATGACAGGACAGGAACACAAATAAATACTGAAAGGAAATATATCGAGTCAAGGGTTATTGCTGGATGCTAAAGGTCATGGATGGGTACCTGTTACAAAATACTTAACGGTCATGGAAATTAAGGGAATATTTACTGAGTCTCTGCTATTTGCCAGGCAGAGTAATAAATGCTTTACTTTGTTTCATTTAATCTTCCTGACTCTCCTGAGTAAGGATTATTTTGCGATGAGGCAAGAATCTCACTTTAAACACCGTGCCCAAGAACACCTGGATTGTGAGAGTTCTAACTCTGCCTGTCTTCAAAACCTGTACTGCCCTGTGGATGCCAACTGTGTACAGGATTAGGCTCATGGAATTCTGGAAATATAGTCTAGATTACAAAACACATAAACTTTGCTTTTCCATACTCAGAAGGCATGAGGAGATCTAGTTTAAAGTGTGCCTGTGACAGGAAACAGTAGCTTTTTGATTCTCTGGGGGAGCGAAGAATATTTTAGGCACCTGCTCTTGGAGAAAAGATAGCTTGGAAGATAGCTACAACCCACCTGACAGGACAGAAGAAATCTCCCCCTGAGGCTGAGATCCCACAGTCAATAAGGGAACTATGAGAAAGGTCGCGTGGGCCCTGGGGAAGATGGGAGTCTGAGTTTGAGCGGTCTTGGTGCTTCTGGTCGGGGTCTTGGGCCCTGAGCCTAGCAAAGCATCATTGCTGAGAATATCATTCAAGTTAAGCAACACTCTTAGGGGACACCATGCTGAATGCAGAGCTAAGTACTGGGAATACATAGATGTCTCAAAAGTTTAACCAATGAAGAAGAAAGACAAGAAAAAATTTTACTGGTCATACTTCACTTTAGCCGTTCTGGCCTCTTTCCTGATTCTCAAAGCATAAAAGTCCAACAGGTTCCAATATCAGGTCCTTTGTCCTGGAGTTCCCTATTCTTTTCAAAATTTGAGCGGCCAACTCACTCCCTTACCCCCTTTAACTCTGTTCAAATTTCATCTTTTAAAAAAAATTGAGGCATATTTAATAACAACATTATATTAGCATCAGGTGTACAACATAATTAGTTGATATTTGTGTAAAATGATCACCACAGTAAGTCTAGTTAACATCTGTCTCCATACATAGTGAGAAAATTTTTTCTCAGAATAAAACTTTTAAAAATTTAAATATTTTATTTCGATCTAACCTTTGTTGTATTTTTTCCATGACCATTTAGTCTCCTTATAGCCTCCTCCCCGCAGCAATCACCACTCTGTTGTCCACGTCCATGAGTCCTTCTGCCTTTTTCCTCAATCCCTGGACCCCCTAACCTCACCCTCCCCAGCTGTCATCCTGCTCTCCATCTTCTTAGCAACTTTCAAATATGCAACAAAGTATTATTAATTATAGTCTCCATGCTGTACATTACATCCCCAGGACTTATTTATTTCACCTTCTTAGTGAGGTGTATCTTGATCGCCTTATTTATAATTGCAACTTTCGCCCTTCCCCCAACCTTCACACCTCAGCACTTCAGCCTCTCTTACTCTGATTTATTTTTTGTTCACAGCACACGTTTCCTTCCAATATTCTAGAAATGTTATTTGTTAAGTTTGTTTCCTCATTAAATATAACCTTCATTTATATTTAGCTATCTCTTTGTTACATACCTTAAGTACCCAGAAGGATGCTCGATGCATAGCAAGCACTCATCATACTACTTGTTAAATTAAATTGGACTAAATATGTGACATATTAAGCACAAGTACAGTGGATATTGGCAGCAGAGAAGAGTATGGATAACTTTTGTGGAGGAGGGGAGTCAGGGAAGATTTAGTAGAAAAAATATGTTTCGGCTAGGATTAAAAGATAAATGGGCATTGTCCACACAGAGGTCGGGCTGGAGTGGGAGGATAAACATTTCAAGCAGAGCAAACATCATATACAAAGAAGTGAGGGTGGCAATAAAATAGGCTGGGTAAGGGCCTGCTAGGAAGAGGAATAGATCAGACCAGAGTGGTCTACTGACTATTGAATTGCTGAGAGGAGAGACTATTTGTCAGTCATTGTAAGGAAAGATAATATATCCAGGCTCTTCTCACTTTGCAGCCCAGATTCATTCTGTGCTCTGTACCCCAGGAAGCTGGTACCCAGTCTCCATCACCAGTTTCCAGTAGGAGTTTCAGGCAGGAAACTGGCAGTTTGGGAGAGAGGCGAGACTATTTATTCCTTTCTGCTTCCTCCCTGCTGGGCCGCAGTTCTGACTGGCGGCAACTTTTTTGACTCTAACAGGAGTGTCCTCCTTTGTGGTCCAGCAGGCCTCAGGGTGCTGATGGCTTTCTGCGGTTGCCAGTGCTTAGGTGCCTCAGTGCCCCTTCTTGGTTTCTTTAACCCTGCTCCTCCATAAAAAATTCCCAGGAGAATGTAGTTGATTCCTGCAGTATCTGCCTCTGACAGAGAAAAGCAGAGAAAGGAGAAGTCAGTGCCGGCCAGCAGCTGAGTGGCTGCAATCAGCAGGGCCCTGTCCAGCAGGCAGATGGAGTCCAAAGTCCAGGTGATCTAGGTGCAGGAACGAGACAGCTAGAGACCTAACATCAAGGCAGTGTCTGGACAGTGAGGGTGCCAGACTTTTTGGACACAAGTCAACATCTTCTGAAGTGGAGCTCACCTATATATGTCTTGTCCACACCTCAAACTGCTCTCAATGTGTGTGTGTTGGAGGCAGGGGTGAGAAGTAGGAACAGAAGCTGGACAGAATCAGTACATACTCAGCTTAGCAAACATAATTCCAGGCTCCCAAAACCCAAAGTTGTGAACTATGGACTGTGTGTGGGTGTGTATACTTTCCCCTCCGGGTGTATAGGAGTATGTGGGGGTGGGCCGTGTCTGTGACTCCTCTTCCCAAAGGTAGAAAATAATAGACAACCTTTATGAATATTTGCTATGTGTCAGTCATTGTTCTGAGTGTTTTACTCACATCCTTCTACTCTTTGAACCCTGGTAACAACTCCCTAGGTGGGCACTAGTATTACGTCAACCTTCCATATCAGGAAACTGACGCCTATGGTCTCCCAGGGAGGAGCCCGGTGAGAGGGAAGTAACCTGGGAAGTCTGGCTCCAGGGACAGCTGGCCCCCTCCGCCACTGGCACGGTCTTTGCCTGCCCCTGGACTTGTAAAAGGCAGGAGTGTGTTCTTGTGTATTACTATTCATCTTCATATGCTCAGAACCTCGCAAGATGCCGGCAGCAAAAGCTGCTTCATAGTTATTGTTAATAAAAGGAACGAACTTTTGCTAGGCAGCGAAAGCGAGGACATGTCCCAGACACAGATAGCTCCTCGGGGTGGAACGCCAACTTTCTTCGGCGGCACGGCGCTTCCAGACCGTGCGTGCCACCGCCCTCCAGCCAGCCAGCCCGTCGGCTCAGCTTCGGCTTCGTATCAGCAAGAACAGGGCAAGAACGGGGAAAGGCAGTGCCGGCAGCGCCCTGAACAAACCAGAAAAACAGCCCTCCTCTCCTCTGCTCGGGAGCCCAGGGCCCCGCCCGCAGCCTGAGGTCTCCCCTCGCACCGCCCCTCCTGCCCCCAAGTCTCACCCGCCCGGGGGTGGAGAGCGAGCCAGCCGGCAGGTAGCTTTTGGACTCTGCACCCTCGGGTGTGTGCTGCCTGTTTCCCGGCGGCCTGTGTTGTCCAGCTCTGAGGTCCATGGACGGAGCCAGGCCCCCCTCGCCCGGAAACGAGCTGGAGCTCTCGGAGGTCGAGGGGCAGCTGGAAGAGCAGACGCCTCTCAATGGAGCCATCCGGATCATCCCTTTACCGGCGGAGGAGCCAAGTCCAGCCCAGGTAAGGTCTCCTGGCTGCGCCGCCCGAGCGCGCCCGGATCCGGGCTCTCCGCCAGGACCCGCCTGGCGCCCGCAGTGTCGGGTTTCCAGCCCGTTCTCTCGGCGCCACCGCCGCTGGGTGCGGGTGGTGCGCCCTAGAAAGTTCTCAGTGGAGCGACACCAGAACGCCCTCCAGCCTTCAGGCCCCTCTCAGCTCTGCGGCCCCCGTGGGACTTGGGAGAATCCTAATTTGGAGGTGCGTGGCTCCTCTCTTCCGAGAGAGAACCCCCAGAGAAAGAGGTGGTTTTTAAAAAGTCCTATATCCTTTAATTTCGTTTTCTCTTTATCCAGTAGAGAGAAGTAGAGTGATAGACGGCAGCTTCTCCTTTTCTTCGGCATGTCTTGGCTTCCTTTATTTATTGCCTTGCCACTTTCTCCCGTCGCCCTCCCAACTCTCACCCACCGTCCACCATCCCCACCCTGGCGCACATCCTCTATACACACACTGCTAACTTTAACCAATGTGGCCACTTGATTTTACAGCAAGAGAGATGGCGAGAGTGGAAAAGGCAGCAAGAACAGAAGGGCTGAGGGTGGGGAAAGATGTGGGGAGCTGTGAAGTTGTCCTGCTTAGGCGTTTCAGTCCCAGAGAACTAGGTTGCACCTCATTTGCTTCGGCCTCATCTCGAACTCTGAGGAAGTCTTCGGTAATGTTTTGTCTGTACTCTTTTCTGATTAAGCCCTAGCAGTGACGGGAGTATTATTCATTCTCATCAAATGCTTGTAAAACAGCAGAGACTTTGAATTTTCAGCCATGAACCTTGTCATTAACCTCTAAGACTGGCTTGAGTTTTTTTGGGTTCCTGGAACTCCCCATATACATGGTTCCATTCTGATATTTCTACTCCACCCCTCCTCTCCCACCCTTCGGCTGCTCAGCTGTTCATTTCAGAGATAAGCAGGAAATTCCAAAGGTGAAAGTATTGATTTTGCCTCCACATTGATTCCTGGAAATATTGTAAAGTCTGCTTTTATAGTTACCTATAGGTGCCCTGGAGAGTAATTTGGTACGTTATATTTGAATGACAGACGAACACCACAGAAGAATGAAAGTTGGAGGAAGATGGCCTAATCCTTGTGGAAGTGGCTATAGCTGTGGCCTTGCTATGTCAGTCTTCCAAGGACGTGTGTAGGAATGGGAATTGGGAATACTTGCCTCATGTTAGATAGACCCAAGACACCCCAAAGACTTAATGGTTTGGGACCGAATCCAGAGATCCAAGGCCTGGTGACAGCTTTACAACTAAAAATGTGTCCTGGGGCAAGGCACTGAGGTCTGTATTTTCCCAGTTCTCCAATAGTGGAATGTAAAGTGGCTGAACGAGTTTCTCTGTGAGGCTTGGCAACGTCTTGATGAAAACAGTGGAGTAGAAGAAAATGCCAAACACATGTAGGGCATCAGCATTTTATAGTTGTTTAGCACTTGTTTAGTATAGATTGCTCTTTCATGTTCTAATTGTTTCCTTCTGAGTCAGGTATATACAAATATCCTAGAATTTCTTGTGAATTTGCTTTGTAGGTCACTGAATAGGAAACTTGTGTCGAATGACAGGATGGCATGAAGGTGAAGGGATTATGAGCACTTGGAGGACATTTTAAAAATGCTTGAATGGGAAAACTTTTTAAAAAGGGAAAAAAGAGAAAAAAACTTTATCTAATGTGTTAACCTTTCTCTTTGGTTCTGTAGAATAAGTTGAAGTATATTTTAAATTGAAAAGTCAAGTAATGTAGAGTTCTTAAAAGTTGGGTAGCACAAGCACAAGATTCAGATTCAATCTTGTTCAGAATTTAGGACAAAAATCAACCGGCTTTCATGCATGGATCAACAAGTGGATTAAATTCCACAAGGAAAATTTTAAAGTATAGATTTTTCTACATGCTAAGAAAATTTTCCTAGATCTATGTAATATCTGCTTCTGATTCAGCCAAAGAGAAAAAAAGCTTTTTGTATCCAAGAGATAGGTAGTCCTGCCATTGTTGAAGGACCTTTGCCATGTATTCGGACTGTTTGGACTCTTATCTGTAGAGAGATGTGAATATCTGGGGAATGTTCGGAGGAAAGCCACACAAATTCTTGAGTCACTTAGTGCAATCATAGAATGTAAGATGCAGTTTGCAAAAAACTCCAAGGCACCTTGCAGAAGAAACTGCCTGTGGCTTTTCACCACGACCTAAAATTTGAGCAAGAGAGGATGAAGAAGCCAGGGAAGGAGGCGGTGTGTCTTCGTGATCTGGTTTTGAGGGGAGATACAGAAAGCACAGGGAGTGCACATCTCCTGCATCAGAGATTCTCCACCCTCAGGGCACAGTGGACTCTCCTGGAGGCACTTCTGGAAAATACTAATTCCTGGGTTGATTCTAATGTGCAGACAGCAGAGAAACACTGTGCTCAGTGTCAGGTTGGGAGTGGCTGACAGACCATTTTATAGTGACTTAAATTCTGTAAAGATTAATCATGCAAGGGATAGTGGTCCCTGTCTTAGGGCTGATGAGTGGGTAGGGGGCCAGGCTCTAGGGTGGCAGCTTTGGGCTGGCCAGGAAGAGGCATTTCCTGGATGAGGGCTGTGTAATTCTGAGCCGACTTCCCCCGGAAGTGGTCCTACGTTTATCACTTCTAAGGGATAATGTAAGTGAAGGTGCAAGAAACCGAAGAGGTGCATTGATGCTCCTTCTGGGACTCCTTTGAGACTTAGTACCATTTTGAACTAATCTTTATGGTCCACGCTGCCTCTTATATCAGAACTCAAATGATACATGTCTTGGGAACTCTGTAAATAGGAAGATACATTTCTGTCCCCTTGAAAGTTAAAGGTTCCTTGCCCTATGACTTTTTCCCATGTGCCTTATTGAGACCTTGACTTTGGTGACTTTGGAGCAGTTCTCTGTCTTCGCCTCTGGGTGGAGATGAGATGTGGCTCTGTCTCTGGACCCCAGAAACACCTCATAAGGGTTTTCCTCTGCCCAGATAGCCCCAGGGCATCTATTGCGCCCTTACCCCCAATTCGAAGAGCCAGCGCAGAGTGTGCTCGGGTGCTCCAAAGTGGGACTTCTACGCTAGAATTTCTCAGGGTACGTTCTTAACATTTTTGGAGCCCTCTGTAACTCAGCAACACATTATTAAATGCCTGTTACCTGTGTGAAGCACAAGAGTGGGATGTAAGAATGGGGAAGTTGAAGAACCTCCCTTCCAATGTGGTTTCACTTTACCTAAGGAGAAAATGCCAGTTATCTGTTTGTATCGGAACCTGAAACCAGACGAGGCAGCGCCAGGTGAGCTGTGGGGACAGCTCATATGCTGGGACATCTCTCCATGGGTGCAATGGTGGGGAGGCCGCCACGGAAGAACAGATTTGACCTGGCCCCTGAAGAGTGAGGAGGCCTCAGACCAGAGGTTTCAACCCCGGTAAAAGCAATTGATTTACTTTGGGAAGATTAAAATTATAAACCCGGGTCTGCCCCTACCTCCCTACATTCCGGTCCCTTAGGTCCAGGTAGGACCCAGATCTTTGTAGGTTAAGTTCCTCTTCAGGTGATTCTGATTGCAGCCGGGCTTGGGAGCCTCTCATTGAGAAAGTTTGAACTGTACTCCAAATGCGGACAAACAATTTTCTTTTCTGATGGCCACCTCCAGAATCATGATGGGAGAGAAAGTAAGCAAGTTGTCAGTCAATTTGAGAGCAAGCGCCTGGAAGTGCCTGCTGCTGCTTTGTGGGACAGGTGAGCCACTCAGTAATGATTGCTCCCATTTGTTGAGGTCCTGATATTTGTTTAGCAAGTGCTTCATGTACATGATCTCTAGATTTTACAACATCCCGGTGAGCTATATTTATTCTTTATGTTTTACAGTTGAAGACGTTAGGGCTGGGGGTCTTAGGGGCTTGCTGATGGCCTCCCTGACTTGAAGTGGTATAAGTGTGATTGGAATTCTGATTCAGAAACACACTTTCCCCCCATCATATCCCATTGTTTCCCATGGTGTCCATGTGGGAATTACCTAATGGCCTACTGGGAAGTAGGAGAAGGGCCAGGGGACCTTTTAGGAGCAGGTGGCAGTGCTGGGAGTGGAGGCAGCCCCATGGCAGCCAAGCTTGTTCATAGCCTGGAGCTCTGCACAGTGACCCAGAGGCTGCAGATGAGACAGAGAGAACCCTAGCTTTGCAGTGACACACAGCAGGGGTTATTCCGGGCCAATCTCTCTGAACTGTGTCTTTGAAATGGGCTAAAGCCTCCCTTGTAGGGCTGGTAGGATGAAGTGAAATGGGTTTGGCTGTAATCATTTTATTTGACCCCACACTGTGAATCACTAAGCCCATTACAGTTTATTTCCTGGTGTCTCTCTTGTCCTTCCCTTCATTCCCTCCCAAGGCCCTTATTACATAGAGTCAAGGTCACAGCAGTTGCTTCTTAGCTTTCTCTTGGTGTGTCCACGCTAAACTACACATCGCCTTGCTTTGAATCTTTAATTCAGATTTTGTTTCATCAGGTTCCCAGTACACACTAATTAAGTGCACACTGCTCTGGCAGCATTCAAAACCCTCTCAAATACATACCAACCTTTCACTCTTTCTAATCTTCACTCCCATTACTTGCTCCTGAAATGGAAAAATCAACCAGATGAGTCTCTTGGCCATTTCCATTATGAATCAACACCAAGGATGCCCTTTCCCAGGCTTGGAATACTTTTCTCTGTCTAGCCTTCAAAATCCTGCTTTTTTGCCCCCCTCAGAGCCTGTAGGCCGTTTTCATGCTGACTTTTTTTGTGAAGTTCCTTTCTACCCCTTTGTAAATGTGACTCAGGAGAATGTAGCCCCTTCAGGTCAGGATCCTGCTGCCTTCGCTTCTGTATCACTGTCCGTACTAAGTACTCCAGCATGCTTGTTGCAACCAGGTGACTGCCTCACAGTCTCCCTCTGCTTTCCAGGCTAAGCAGAAAAGCCCTTGGAGCTCCTGCAACAGGAAATTGTGTGGAAAGTGTAAACTGTGGATGGCCATCGTCTCCATTTTCATAGGCCTCATTATAGTGCTCATCATGAGTTTATGTCTTATGAAAGGTAAGAGGATTTATAAATGTCTAAACGGATGCATTTTAAGACAACTTGTTTAATGCTTATGACTTACACTGCAATTGTATATGTACTCAATGGTATAAATATTTCATTATTTATAATTTGAGTTTAAAACTGGCTTGGAATATGTTATATGGATAGGAGAAATATATGATCCTTGTTTGTTGTTTGTTTTATAAGCTCCGGAAGTAGAATGAACACCATTGTTTTACTTTAAACTCGGTCCATTGGATCTTGAAGATTTCTTAAATTTTTAACTTATTTAAATGCTAATTTATATTTTTTTATATCTCTAAACATGCTTGTTTGACTTTTTCCTTACAGTTTGTTTAGTGAAAATTGTTGTACTTCATCTTATATACCTGGTATATGATTATCATGTTAAAATAATGAATAGTATACTTGAAAATTTTAAAAACTTTATAATATTTTGTACCTGTAAGTTGTCATTTTTTGAACTTATTTTGGAAATAACTTTATTATATTTATGTTGTATGTATGTACAAGACAAAAACATATGCTGACTGTATATTTTACATACATTATATCATTTTAAAATTAGTTATGAATATAAAAATTTCATGTTGTTACTCATAAAATTCATTTGTATTATTAATGTTTTGTTTCAATTTTTACTTCTTGTCACTTGCATTTTAAAAATAATTTGGAATCATTTTTTCAGTAGTCCTGTGGCGTACCTATTTTGTAAGATTTTAATTATTTTGACATCATTTTACAAATTAATTAAAAGCTATTTCTGAATATCTTAAAAAAGTTTTTTTTATTTGAGGTATAATTGAGATATAACATTCTATTAGTTTCAGGTGTATAACATGATTCAGTATTTGTATATGTGGTGAAATGATCACCACAATAAGTCTAAAAGCTTTTTTTAATGACTGAATATGGTAGTCTTCCCCACCATTTTAAAGCTTTCTGGGTTGTTATCAATTTTTTATGATTATCAATATTAAAGTTTTTATACTTAAAAGTAGCACCCTCCAGAGAGCAATCATTTCAATTTCAAAACAGGAAGGAAGAAAACTGCTTTTATTTGTGTGTGGGAGTGATTGTAGGGGGAGGGGCCTCTTCTGGAGCTGAGCTGCTCTTGTGGATAAGTCTGAGGAGGATCCGGGTTGAGTCAGACTTTCCACAGCAAACCCAGACATGGGATGAGAGCAAGAAGGGAAACCTTTGAACCTCTCTAGAGGAGGTGCCCTGGGAATTTTCCTCAGGAACTGCATTTGTCATTCACCTCCTGTGCCTCCTCTTCCCAACCTTTTCATCTCCTTTCTCTTAAGTTTTGTGGTCCCCGAAGGAATAGGAAAACACTGATAACATGTGCCAATCTCACACTGACAGCATGTGAGTTTCTCTCGCAGGCACCATGTTTACTTCCTTATGACACTGTTGAGGTGAGATGTGTGATTCTTTGAGGCCATAGGCTGGTTTTGAGGTGGGGAAGACTTAGTAAGAGTTGCTACACCTCCTCCATCATGCTGCGGACTATAAGTTTTGTGTGAGCATTGATACTCCCTTTCTCCATCAACTCCCACGTGTGGATGTGGAAACTGTAGCTGAGTCATACAGTCTTGTCCTATCACAACCAGTGGGTGCCAACCTAAAAGCTGACGCATTTGCCTGTTGGCACCTAAGGCCTATAACAAAGGATGATGCAACAGATCCAGGTGCTTTAATAGCCAGGATTCTAAAGCACAAGACTCAAGAGTTGCCTTCCATTATCACAGGTTATTTTGCCCCTTCAACTCACAAAGAGCAATATGCAGAGGAAGGGATTCCATTTCCCTCAATAGTTTCTCAGAGAACATCCAAGTCCATAGGAGGGTACTCAGGGAAGAACTTTTTAACACTTGCAGTGCAAACTTCATTTTCTATTTGGTTAGAAAATTCTATTCTTAAAAAGCCAATGCTGTAAGAGAGATTTTAAAACTTTTACTTTAAAAAAATGTTTATTTTTGTTTATTTTATTTTATTATTTTTTTCACATAAACCTTTTGTTTTAATAAATAAAGCATCATGGCTTGGATTTTATACCACATTTACAGATAAGGAGCACTTCTAGGCCCAAACAGGTAACAGTGAAGCTACGACTGTTGGAAGGAGTGCATGCCCCACATGTATGTTAAACCTAAAGAGCAGAGACTTAATGGCAGAGAACACCGTACATGTAACTTCTGGCCTAGATAACTAGAAGCAGAGGAAGAGCAGAAGACTGGATGAAGTCCATGCAATTACTACCTAATTTCTTCATCTTCATGCTGTAGAACCAACTGGAAATTGTGGTACTTTTAGGTTAGCTAGAGGTAGGTTTCCTGATATAGAATGAAACTTTCTCCTATTGTTAACAATTAGGCTAAGGGCATTAGTGCAGAAGGATATCTACTGATAAATACAGAAGAATAGAACAACAAAGAAGAAGATTTAAAGATAATCTTGTTCCTTCAAATATCAGAAACTTCCACATCATAGCAGTGTATAAACTCTACCTCCCAAAGGCTTAGTCCAAAAACTTCTTGGCGTTTTCACCAAACAAGGTTCCCTGTGCTTCTGGCATCATCTGCTGAGCTATGAGATCTAGCGGGCTTTCTAGGGTATTGAAAAACTTTATTTTATGATTCTCATTATAGATTTCAACTCCACCATCTATCTTCTTAGGCAGGTAGGCCTCCTGATCAATACTGACATCAACATCTTTTTTGGTGGCTATTTTGTACGTAGGGTTAGCTTTTTGTACTGCAGCCTTTACCAGCAGGAAATCCTGTTTCCAGCAACAAAGAATCTGGGGCTCCAATAACTGGTATGTACTCTGGAGGACCAGTCCATCCAGCAGCACTTGGTGCCTGATGGTACCTTTTACCAACTTGCTGAGTCTCTGTTTTGCTTCATTTGGTAGGTCTGTAATAAGGTCCTCTCTCACTTTGAGGGCTTTGAGTCTGGCTTGATTCATCAGATTGGACATAGGAATTTTTTTCTGCTGCTCTGTCTGCTTTTCTTTCTTCTCATGGTATTCCATAATCTTTAGTCTCTGGGTTTGCACAGGATGACCTTTCTCATTATTGAACTCTTCTTCTGCTTTTGCATCTACTTCTTATGCTTTTTCATTGGCTTCTTGTTTAATAAGAGCATCATATGCTTAAACTGTTTTTGCACATCAGTTTTGCCGAGGGCCATGGGGAAAACGATGCTAGGGTGCTGGGCAGCTAGCTCGAGTTTAGGCTTGAAGGAGATAGTGGAAGGAAAGGAAAAAGAAAAGCCCCAATTTTTTACTTTTTTTTAAATCAGGGAAATACTTTTATTTTACTTGGCACCTCAGCCCTTAGGGTTTGGGACCATGGGAGAGTCATGACAAGTGGTGGGGGGTACAGTAGATATGAATGAGGTGACAACAGGCTACCCCTCTGAGACAGTCTCAGCTTCACCCAAAGCAGCTCTACAGGCACTTCTGGGATGTCAGTCTGTAATAATCAGCCATTGTCTAGTTACCACGCCCATTGATAAGAGTCAAGTATTTGCAGAACTTCTGGGCACTGTGTGGAAAATGGTAACATCTTGAAAAAAGGAATTATTGGGAGTGTCAAGGGCTGTACCTGTGGCTGTCCATGTTCACTAAGAAGTAAGGTTGCTCAGGACTATATTTACCATTCGTCTCTTCCTTCCCTTCCTCTCTGCTCCTTAATCTCATGTCTTAGGTCTCTGTCATTCTCAGACTGAGGCGTTAGTAACTTTGGACCTGGAATGGACCCAGAAGGGGACAGTACATGCATCCCAGAATGTCAAGTGTAACTAGCCGGGGAAGAGACAATGGAATACCAGGGTGAGGTGCCCAGTGGGGAGGTTTGTCTTATCGCTGACATTGTTAAGAATGCAAGCAGAGCAACCTGTGCTTGGTTTTATTATTATTTTCTCTGCAAATTGTGTACCTCTTATTGGCTGCATGTGGGTTGGGCCCTCCTGCCACTCTGCCCGTGGCATGCCATTGAAGTAATGGCAAATTCAGGGTCATGGCTGAGTGTAAGGTGCCGAGCTGGGCTGTGTACACACTGTGAAGGGGAAGCTAGCACACTCACGGGCTCACAGTAGACAATGAAATCATTTTATATGGAGGATTTTATGAGCAGGGCCCAGGGAATCCTATCGAATTCACAGGTCTTTAGGGAAAGATTAGTAATGGATTCTCTCCTCCCTAAGGAATAATCAATTCCATGGTGTGAAGACTAAAGGAACAAAACCTTCCTCTTTCTAACTCACCTTCTTTGTGGGTAATTTGGAGAATCAGTTAAGTGTCCTCAAGGGTTCTGCTTTCTTTACTAATTTGCCCCAACAAGGAAGGAGAGAGATGCTGAGTAACACTCTATTAATGAAACCTTCCTTGGTTTGGGCAAAATATTTTAAGTGTCATATAAATCAAACTGGAAGAAGTAAATGGATGCTTAGAAATATGATTTAAATATGAGCGGATTTAACACTAGGAGTCCCTATGTTAGCATTATGGATTTCTGTTGGACCCCTTTGCTCTCTAACCTGCAGGCTTTTCCATGAGTAGGGACGCTATGGTACTGAGATGTAAGCAGGGACTTTCCAAGTGATGCTGTATTGAATGGATTTATTTTGCCTGTGAAAAAGAGCTCCATTTTATAATATCACAGGTGTTGGCAGGCAGGTTTTACAGGGCAGTGCTCCCTGGTGTTGGGTGACTCATGGAAAAATCCTAGGCAGACAGCCTTAGCAAGCTCTAAGCTACCAAGGCCCTTGAGGGCAGGAACATAATAGGACCCTGTAGGCCCAGCACTTTGAAATCTCTTTGCATTTTCACCTGTTCCTTTTTCCCTCAAGTTGCGTATGTTTCTCCACTTTCCCAAGCCTGACTCCTTCTCCTGTGCACTCCATGGAATCCTTGCCAGCTTGTTCTGACTTGTGGACCTTTAGACAGGTGCATCTCTCTCTAAGCATCCTCGGACCCTTTTTGACTTGGGCCTCTTCAAATGTGCTAGCACCGTCTCTCCTTCAAAGCAATCTTCCATCAGAAACTTGCCCCTCCATTTAGGTATTTTTTCTCTTTTTCTTCTTTCACTGGCAAACCTCTAGAGAGATCTGCATTCAGAAGTTGCCTCCTGCACATTCCTAAACCATTTGTATCCATTGGTCCAAAATTGTTGGTGGTCACAGGCAGTTGCTCGGTTCTGAAACCCAAGGAATGGCCCCTTTCTCATCCCTTGACCTATTTGCAGCCTTCAGCTCTGTTGACTGTGTTGTCCTCAGAACTCTCAGACTTTAGGTCTCCTGCCGTTTCTGCCTTTGGCCTTCACATGTGGTACAGGAGGCTTCTATTGAGCTGTCTTACCTTTTTTATTCTTCACTCTTCCCTTGAGGAGCTCTTTTGTTCCTCAGTCAATAGCCATCTCCTTTCAGAGGTGACTCCTAGCCCTACATCCACACGCTTTTCCTGGGTTTTAGTTATACATTTTGCTGGACCTCTCTACCTGAAAATAACTATCGTCTCAATCATTATGCATGTGAAACTACAATTCACATGTATCCTCTTTGCCAGTAAGCTAACCCTTTATACCTTCACAGTGAATCAGGAGACCAGGTTTATTTCAGCTCTGCCACGATCCAGTTGTGTAAATTTAGGCGATTCTTCAACCCACTTGACCTCAGTTTCCCCATTGTTAAAATATAAGTGATTTCTGAATCTGAGTCTAGAAATGTACTCAGTCCTACTACTTAGTAGCTCAGATGACCTGAACAACTTATGCCCTTTCTGAAAGCCTTGATATCTTTATTTTACAATGAAAACATTAGTATTTAACTGACAGGGTTGATTTGAGAATTACATGAGGAAATATCTACAAGTATTATCAGAGTGTCTGTACCTAATGCTTTATACAGTAGCCATTACTCTTCCTGTTACCCAGGCTTGGTATTTTGGAACATTTTTGATTTCTTCTCCTCTTCCAGATCTAGGTAATGACCAACTTTTATCAATCATTCCTTGTTAGTGTTTTCACAGCAAATTTCATCATTGGCTACCCAGTTTCCACAAGGCACCATGCTACATACTTTACAGGTATTGGTTCTCAGGTTTATCATCACTTACAATGTAGGTATTGATGTTTCTGTGGCAGAAACAGCTTCAGAGGTAATATAAGTGCTTTGCTCCGATCACATGGCTAATAAACAGCTGGGCTGGGATTTAAACTAAGTCTGGGTACTTTTAAAGTCAGCTCTATTTCCACTATTCTGGACTTTGTCCTCTCTTTCTCCCTCTCTCCCTCCCTCCTTCCCGCGCTTTCTTTCTTCCTTCCTTGCACTTCCTACTGGTGTCAATCAAAATCTCTCCCAGCTTTGCACCTACGGGCCTCTGCCTCTACTCTCTCCTGGGTCCCTCTCATCCCGTCCATCACTACCAGATACACCTCCACTTCTTCCTGGGAGACATGTAACAGTCTCCATTACCTCATACAGACATCTGGCATTTATAGCCTTCCTCTTCTGCCTCATTTCTTATATTCTAGCCAAAGAGCTGATCTTGTATACCTGCAATGCTTGCATTGTATTTTACATGTTTTAAGTGGGTTTTTTTTAAAACACATTTTCTCTACATGGAAAATGGTTCCCAAATGAAGCCTCATTAGTGTCATAAAACCTTAGCTGACTAGTTAAACCAGTGGTTATTGTTGTTTAACATACACAGCTATTTGGCCAGGTCTTGGGACTGATTCATTACTCACTAATATAAGTTAAGTATATGTCATTAGAATTATTAGTATTGGAGATCTCTTTTCAAACTTGGCCTCTCTTCTCAGGGCCCTTGAATTCAGCAGTTATGTAAACTCTGCATCCATCCTCTGGCTTCCCCTTTCCCTTTCCCAGGCAATGCTATCTACTTTGGAAATGTATGCAGTGGGTGTAGAGCTCAAATATAGTCATTGCAGCATTATTTATAGCAGTGAAATCTGAAAACACTAAAAGATTTAAGAAAATGAGCACGCTGGTTATGAACATTATGCAGCATTAAAATAATCTTTCAAGGAATTTCAAACACATAGGGAATGGCTCTTGATATGTTAATAACAACAACAAGAACAACAACAACAAAAGACTGAAGACAAACAAGCAGTGAAAACAAAAAACAACAAAACAGGATACAAATAACCTTTTCATTATGACCTCAACTATCTAATATAAAATATGGGGGAACAAATTTTTGTCTAACAAATTGTTAATGTCTTGCTTTGCTACAATTTCCTATACTTTGCAAGTTTTCTGCTGTTGTCAGGCAAAATGATGTAATGACTTACAACAAGTAAAGATTCAGGGATAGTTACGTGGTTTTTTTTTTTTCTCTGTCTTTTTAACCCCCAAGATCACCATTAGATTCAATGATTGTTGGGAGGGCTCACAGGACTCAACATATAGTCATAGAGATGACTATGATTGATTATAGCAAAAGTATATAAAGGGAAATCCAGAAGAAACCAGGCACAAGCTTCCACAAGTGCTCTCCTGGTGCAGTCCCATAGGACACACTTAATTCCTCTGGCAATGAGGTTGTTAGCAATGTGTGAAATCTTTCCACTAGGGAAGCTCATTAGAGACTCAGTGCTCAGGTTTTACTGGGGCTGGTCACATAGGCAGCCTGTGCCAGGCACATACTAAAATTCCAGACTTTCAAAAGGAAAGGCAATGTTCAGTGTAACACGTTGTTTGTACAGAGTTTTGTCACAGTGAGCCACCCTTACCAGGGAATGGTGGGAACCTCTCCGAAACTCAAGTTCCCAGAGGCCAGCCGGGCCAGCCTCGAGCAGCCGGGCATCTCCAAGCTGGCAGTCTCCACCCGCTCTGTTAACTCCTCCGCACATTCTCTTGCTGCTCATGCTTCCCATTTCTGGACTTCCTCAGGGAATAAGTGCCAGAATTTTTAGTTCTTTTCACCTGTCCTTCTAACAGAAACACTGAATTGATTCCTTTATGGTCCTTTCAAAGTTTGAAACATGGAATTGGGCAGAAAAGTCTATGGGAACTCTAACACCTGGTTCTGCCCACCCACACCTTTCTCAGGGCCAGAGAGGTGGTCTGTGCGTGGGCTCAGATGGTGAGGCCGAGAGGAGCTGGGAGCATAATTAAGGCCGGGAGTGCCAGCTTCTAGCTCCTGGCTCCTGACTTTGTGTGTTTTACCTTTAGCTCTAACTGCATACGAATCAGTTAGCTCAGTCATTAGAGTACAAGCAGCCACACAGAACTCATTGTCTCTGGAATGTAAGTCCTGCAGCGAGGGGCTCTGAGTGCCGTTTGGTTACCCTTCTGCAAACAGAGTGTGTCATTATTCTTCCCGTGGGACATATTCTTGAGTGATTACTTTATACCCAGCCTGTGTCTCCCTGGGAGATTTCAAGACATGGTTTCACATGCTCATATTCAAGTCCCCCTCTGTTCTGGTTGATGATGATTCCTTGTGCCCACTCCCTGTCCCCCATCGCCCATTGTTCATCCCTCCTGCCCCGACTGTCCCCCAGCACCTGACTTGACACCTGTGTGCATAGCTAAGCTGCAGGTTCAGTTTAACAAATTCATGATCTTCTCACTCCATTCCTCTGGCCCTTCCCCCTGCCTATAGTCAAGGAATCTGAGACCCCTTATGATATAAAAGAAACAAAATTTTTATCATGCTGGAGGCAAGACCCTATCTTTATTTGGTTTTTCCAAGAAGAGAAAGCATTTCTGTTCATACTTGCTTACTCTCGCCAGGTTTTGTCCTTGATGAGTGCCCATCATTTTTTGTTGCTGTTATTGTTGTTTTGTTTTGTTTATTTTTAAAGTAAAATAAATTCATTATTTTGTGCATATGTTTACTTTTACCTTTTATTTCCACCTCCCACTCTCTTTAGTAACTTACATGGATGAAGATGAAAATGAAATACTTGAGTTATCATCAAATAAAACATTTTTGGTCACATTAAAGATTCCAGAGGAGTGTGTTACTGAAGAGGAATTGCCTCACCTGCTCAAGAAAAGGGTAATGGGGCCTTATGCATTGTTACTGAGTTCTTAACATTAGAAATATGGATTCTGCCACAACAGTTGGCATAGAGCTACAGAAAAGTAGCTTTAAGCTTGGATTTTGGCAGAAACAGACACTTACAAATGGATTTTTTGTCATGCAAAACCAGAGGGTAGAGCCCTGGCCTCCAGCTAAATGCATCCTGGGAGGACAGTGTTCTCTTTCTTCACTCTGCTCTTAAATTTGATTTAATTTATAATTTCATCTGGGGTCTATAATGTGCTAGACAACATGCCAAGTGTCAGGGCCTCAAACTCTGTGCCATTAGTAGGACTCACAGCCCAAGTAGAGGAAACAATAAATAGATATTATAAAATGGTATGATATATTCTATTGTTGAGATATGTACCTGTTTTGCAACCACAAAGGTGGAGAACCTAGACTCGCTGAGGTGGGGATGGAGGCTTGGGAGTCCTCCTAGAGAGAGTGATACTTTGGATGGGGGTCTGCTCAGCAGTGTACTATGGACTCCCCATGCTATGTGGTGGGTACTTGCAGAGGTGAGGCTGAATAAGAAGGGAGGGTTGGATCCTGAAGGTTTTCCTACAGTTTGCTAAAGCGCTAAGATATTTTAATCTGCAGTTTGATATGGTCAACCTTCATTTTAGCCTTTCTGTGTAATGGTGAAAAAACACTAGAGCTACCGTCTAGTTAGAAGGTATTGAAGTAGTTCAGATGGCAAACGAGGGAGCCTTGCACTAGGGTAATGTCAGGGGGAAAAAGGCAGATTCAAGTGAGATTTAAGAGGTCTTCTCACTCAATAGGATTAATAGCTAGTTGGGTGTGGGAGTGAGGGAGAGCATGACTCAAGGCTCTTGACTGGGTGGCCCTACGGGTGAATGTGGCATGATTTATGGAGTGAGAAATTCATGAGAACAAGCCCTCTGTGAAATATGGGTGCTCTGCAGCCAGACCATGAGGGTTGGTCGGGGCTGTCCTGGTCATCCTGTCAAAGACAGGGTGGTTCACATCCAGACCCAAAAGTTTTTGATAAGGAAATCTAAGCAAGGCCAGCCTGCTGGCCATTGCACTCTTCTTTGCAGTGATAGGTCAAACGGGGTGAGTCCTCTTTATTTGACTTTCATTTGATTTCTGCCAAAGCCCCAGAAGGAGGCAATTCCATCTCAGTCACGCCGGAGTCGGTTCTGAGTACCCAAGTGCCTAATAGCGATCGCTTCTTTGATCACAGGAGTTTGTACTATGGGAAGATTATTCCCAGTTTCTCTTCTTCCCTTTTCCTTGTTCATATCTTATCTGCAATTCCCTTTTCCTCCTTTTGCTCCAGCTGCTTCCACAGCAAGTAACAGAGTGAAGAGCCCCTTGCTGCTTTCCTTTTGGCTGCTTTTTCAGTCGAGGGGTTTTGCATTTGATGAGCAGAAACAAAATAAATCAGCAACCACACATGTCACTTGTTGCAGACTGGACTCTCCGTGTTAAAGGGAAATGAACGTTAATTATTCACCTGAGATGCATGTCTCTGGCACAGAGCCAGACATGAGCAGCTTCTATGGGTATTTGTGGCTCGTCACTGCGTAGTGGTAAAGGGACTGGCAGTGATTCCAGGGCCAAGTTCACAGGCCTCTGAGCTGGCTTCTTCTCTGGCCAATGGGAATCACTGTGCTCTCCCTGTGTACTTACAGGTACATATGAGATGCATATAAAGAACCTTGTAAAAGATTTTTAAAAATTATTTGATTTACAGATGATAAAAATAAGGTACAGTGAAGTGAAAAAGACTCCTGCCCCCCAGCTTCCCAACAAAATTCGTTCAGGAACAAAAATGAGGAACTTGGGGAAATCACTGTGTTATTGTCAGGTTGAGAACCCCCTTTCTTCCACTTAGGCCAGTTTCCAAAAGTTCTGAATATGGAAGGTAAATGGGGGTGCATGTTGGAACACTATGTCCTCTCATTTGCTTTATTGACTTGCTTTCATGAACACAAAAAGCCTCTCTCGTATCTCACTGCCAGTGTTCTCTTATGGCGAGGGCCATTGCTCTGCTAAAGCCGTCCCATTAGCTGTGTGCATGTGCTTGATGTAAGAGTTAAGCGTGGTGCCTCTGATAACCTAGGGGAGGTAGTTCTCTTATTTTGGAAGCTGTTTTCTAGTTAGCCACTGTGCCTGACTCTGGTAATCAGCTCACTGAGCCCTAGCTCAGTCTGCACATTTTACCATAAAATAAGAACTCCATTATCTTTGCTGTTATACACCATTCCCACTTGGTCCCATTTTCCAGGGGAAGTGCCCTCCCTTTGGCTTAAAATGGCTGTTGCTTCTTACAATGGAGTTCTAGAGAAAGGAGAGAAGAGCTGAGTGGCCTGTTCTGCAGTCTTCCAGACAGGGCGGTGTTCTCTCCTTCCCATGTTCCTTGGCTCTGTGCAGGCTCAGGCTGCTGACGACCCTCATCACTAAGGCCACGTCGTGTCAGTGCAATACATAAGAGGACTTGAAATCTCAGCCTGGTCACTTGATCCTTATGAAAAGAGATTCTTTTAAGTGAGTGTGAACTTGACTTTTGGTTGGTGCTAGGCCCATTTATTTCTGCTGTTTGATCCAGAGTCTCTGGATAAGTTTATTTGTAGCTAGCATGGGCTCTACTTGACTCAGGATTAGCTTTGCCTTGTCAGATGATATCCAATAAAACGCAGCAATAATGTGTGTGTTTGTTTTACCTGTTCCTGTTTGTTTCAGCTCATAGATGTGTACACTTCGTCGCCATCTCTGAGCCGTTATTTTACTTCAGTGGAAACGAACTTCAGGTGAGAATGTGGAGGATCTGGAAAGTGACACCACCATTTATCCAGAAGGACTTCCCGAGTCTCAAAGCACAGAGGGAACCGATGATAGAATTGTAGAGTGTTGGTGCTGGGAGGGCTTTGGACACCAGCTAGCTCAGCTCTTAAAAATGAGGCCCAGACTAATTAAATGACTCAATAAGGTCACATGGAAGAGAGGAAAAGCCAGTCCTGGGCATACCATTCCTGTTTAATAGTGGATACTCAAATGAGCTAAGGGTAGAAATAAAATTAGAGCTCAGATAGTGATGTGATGTAAATGATGGAAGCCATGTATTGGTTTATGATTCTGAGGAACACAAAATAGTACAGGAGCCCATGTTCCTTGTATAATATTAAAAATATAAAGATACACATTAAAGGGAAAGCCTGCCTTCTATTCCCCACTACTGCCCTCCTACCCCCGTATGCCCATAAATTCTGCACACGTAGTAAATGCACTTCCTTCTACAAAACGAGCAACCATCAACAGTTTGGTAGGACTTCTATACATGTATTTATTTACCCTACATACTTTATTATCTACTATTCCTATGATATCCCCAGAATGTGACCATCGAAGGCAATATTACATTGAAGTTCCCCTCTGTAACCATATATTTACCAAGCCATTATATGACTAGTCCCGGGAGGGGAAGCATGTGAAGCAGGTAGTAAAACAATGGAGTAGAACGGAATTGGACCCGATGTCTGAAAACACATGCAGTGGCAGGTTGCCTTGGCAATGCTGTTCCTCCTCCTTTATGGATTCTTATGTGCATGTTAACTTACGGTGACTTCTTTTCCTTTTAAACTTTATTTTTCAATTATAGTTTATGTTCAGTGTTATTTTGTATTAGTTTCAGGTGTACAACATAGTAGTTAGATGATCATATTCTTTACAAAGTGCTCCCCCTACAATTTCTAGTACTCTGACACCATACATAGTTATTACAATATTATTGACTATATTCCCTATGCTGTACTTAGATCCCCGTAACTGTTTTGTAACTGCTAATTTGTATTTCTTAGCCCCAGCCCCAACCCCCCTGCCATCTGTCTGTTCTCTGTATCTATGAATCTGTTTCAATTTTGTTTCTTTATTTTGTTCTTTAGATTCCCCATATAATTGAAATCGTATGGTATCTGTCTTTCTCTGATTGACTTACTTCACTTAGTGTAATAGTCTCTAGGTCCATCCATGCTGTTGCAAATTATAAGATTTCATTCTTTTTTTATGGCCAAATTAGGTGCCTTCTTTGATACTGCTTGTCTTAATCACAAACCACTGGTATTAAAGCACCAACAGAAAAGGAAGAAGTGCACAATCAGGCCCAGCTTGCTTTCCTCTGTGCACTTGCCCCAACTTGCAACTCAAAGACTGGGACAGACTTGACAGAAGGATCATGTTCTGAGCCTGAAAGGCTTTTTCAAGAATCTGGCCCCCAACGATGAGTTTAGAGGAGGTGGGATTGCATAATGAGTTGGGGTTGACACTGGGAAAAACTCATCAGAAAAATGAGTAAAACATGGCTGGGAATCTGAAGACTTAAAATAAAAGAATCTGCCTTTAAAAGTTATTGGAAAGAAAAACCCAAGCGTTTTAGTATTTTGGATAAAGAAATTCTGCTTGGGAAGAATTTTTTGTTTCATTTTTAAAAGTCTAGGCAGAGTTTCAAAAATGTTGAAGGGAGAAACAAAAGTCATTGCCCCCAAAAACGCTGTTGCCGCATGGCAGCAGGAGACAGCTATATGCCTGGCAGGCGTTTGTGTTGACAGGGAGATCCTGACCTCAGCCGTGGACCAGCCCAGCAGGAACCTGGGAAAGGCCCATTGGTTCAGCAGCTGCTGGACCCACTCAGGTGGTGGGCAGATAAGGCAAAGCCCATAGGGGTCTCTGCTTCCCTGAAAATCCCTGTTCTCCTCTCAGAACTCAGCCTTATATAAATTCACTGAGACCTGATTTGCTGGGATGACGTCAGCAAATCCTTGCACTCAGCTTCTGGCCTTGGTCTTGTGAAAGTCAGCCTCTGGTCCATTCCACATGTCAATGCCAGCCCTTGCTCGTGGGAGTGCAGAGGGGCTGTGTGTGAAGATGTGACAATTGTTAGCGGTAATTAGAAGGAAAAGCAGAGGGAACACCTGTGAACTAGAGTTCCTGGCTTAGAGTTTGAAAGTGCATTTTTCACCCTGCCTGTAGTGGCATCCTTGAAATGTTTCTCCAGAGTCTCGACTGTCTACTATTCATTTAAACCACAGGGGCTGGCACACGTCTTGGCTTTCTTACTGTTTATAAACTGTTGTCAGCCACTTTGAAGTAAAGGTATTGGCCTGTGTGACCTCTGGCCTCAAGAGGGAGCCCCTTGCCTGTACTTAACAGGGGTGGCGTTCGCTCCTGGGACTGGTGTGTCTACAAAACTTGCCCTGGGGTAAGAGTCTCAGATGTGGCCACATCTTAATAATTTTATTGCCTGCTCTTAATCTGGGTCTTTTTTGAAAATGTTGATGTGGCAGTTAACAAGTGGTATAAGCTACTCAACTGAGAATAGCCCTATGATTATTTTTATTTTGGAAATGGGAAAAATATTTTCTAGGAAGATGAGCACTCCTTTTCCTTTGGTCTCTTTCCTGAAAGCTGTGAAGCTGGCAGCCTTGGGAGTGGAAGTGGGCAGAATAAGTTTCTCAGTTTGGGGACAAATCAGGGAGGTATGATTTGCTCCTGGTACACAGGGTGGTTGGTGGGAGCCCGGGAGTTCTGCAGCTCTGATGGCAGAGAGTTTTGGACCCAACTGTAAACAATAATGTGGGCCCTGGCTGGGTAGATCAGTTTAGAGCACCGTCCCGATACAACCAAGGTTGTGGATTCAATCCCTGGTCAGGGCACATAAAAGAATCAACCAATGAATGCATCAAGAAGTGGTACAACAAATCAATGTCTGTCTGTCTCTCCTTTCCTCTCTGTCTGAAATCAATTAATTAAAAACCAAAACAAAACAATAGTTAACTGGCTAAAGCAAACAGCTCTAACACACACTTAGGGCAGGGAACGGATGTAGTGTAAACACACTAAGAAAGGAATACCAGAGGAGAAGAGGACTTCCTTGGTGTGCCTTGGGAGGTTAAAAGAAGGCTGGTACTGGGGCAGACAATGTGCCAGCCCTTGGATCTTCCTTGGCAGTAGCTGGGTCCCATCTCTCCCCTCACTGGCTTAGGTGAGGATTGACTAAGCTTTTTGTATTAGACCTATCAAATGGGATTCTTTCAGGACAGCACACCCTTTGCTATTTTGTACTTGGAAGAACATGTAGAACTAAAAAAATGTTATTGCTAAAACCAATTTCTGGGATTGCAATGTGATCTTATTATGTTTGACTGTCTCTGTTTAGTTTGCCTTTCAGAGGAGAAAATGCCACCATAACCTACTACCTGCAGTTTGGGGTTCCACTGGAAGATGAAAATTTTATGAAGTATATGATGAGTGAGGAATTGGTGTTAGGCATTTTGCTACAGGATTTCCATGATCAGAACCTGTCTGGTTGTGAAACGCTGGGGCTTGATCCAGAGTCCCTCTCCCTGGATGGTAAGTCGAACAAGTCAGGACAGACTTGTGATGGTAAAAACGTGAACCAGACCCAGACTGGGGACAGAGGGTTTGGGCTGATCACCGTGCAGGTGAGGTTTTGTGTTCTGTGGTGGTTACACAGTCCCTGCCCTCCATGATCAATCTGAGTAGTAGGGGGAAAATCATGGAAACAAATAATTAAACGATAAAGATGAGGGTTGCTGAATGTTTCCATGTTGTAGTTCACTCACATGCTAAGCCCCACATTTCATTGCATAATACTATTAGTACAGGTATACCCCATTTTATTGTGCTTTATGGATGTTGCATTGTTTATAAATCAAAGGCAAGACCCTTCACTACCAAAAATATTTTTACTCACTTTATTGTGATTATCTCTTTATTGTGGTGGTCTGGAACCCAACACACAATTTCTCTGAGGTATGACTGTATCTTTCATGGAAACACCACAGTTTCACAAGAGAAGTAAGTGTTAAAGAATTTGAAATAAACAATATAGTTAAATCATTGAAGGATTATTTTAATATGGGAACTTATCTCTTTTTCTGTTGAAGGCCAATGAGTTCATTAAGAAATTAATAGAGGGGCATAAATAGTCAAATTAATCTCTTTCCTTAGAAAATTATAATAAATTTACTCATTCACTTTTAAGACTAACAGCAGAATAAGAAAAGTGATATGTTGTCTAATAAACATAGAAGACAGCCCACTTGTCAGAGAACACTTAACACTTTGCCCAAGACCAAGAAAATGAAGGCATGAAGGTAGAGCGACCACAGCTTTGAAACATCCTTCCATCATCTGTACTGAAGCTTTGACTTTTTACTCTCCATCCCTCCTCACTTCCCACTTCCAAGTCCTCCCGTGCAGATGCTCTGGCTCTTGTTAGCCCCAAATGCCAACAGTCATGGGTACTTTATTTTCTCATCTACCATCCATCAGAAACACTCTCTGCACATCCGCAGTCAGAAATACTAGTTGAATGAATGAAAAAGGCAAATGAGAAGAAGATGTGGTTAGCATCAGGCACAGTGCCAGCAGCCTGGCCCCAGAAGCGTGAACAGAAAGATTATGAAGCACTTGCTGACTTCATAGTGCGAGAGCAGGCGCTTGCTCTGATGACACACGTCTTGAGGATGGGAGGTGAGAGTAGATGAATCTTGGCCTAAGAGCACAGAAAATTATTTTAAGCAAATGAACAGAAAGAATGACATTTAGAAGACCAAACTTCTGCTCATTGGGAAAGTCTCATAAACAAATAGTTTCCTTACAGAGCAGCTGAATAAATAAGGTGTGTCTGTGGGCCAGGCAGATGGCATACATGTGTGGAGTGAAGGGTTCTGCACCTTCTACAAGAATTTTAAAAAGAAAGAAAGAGAAAAACCTATGACCCAGCCTTGAGTAAAGAAGTGAGAGAAGGGAACTCTACCAGCTGCTGTGGTGTGACTGGTCTTGATTTTCTCAGGCCTGTCAGTAAATTCTGTGGTTACCTGCTCTTTCCAAACACAGGTGAGGGGAGGACGGAGGAGGGTGAGAAAACGTTGAAGAGGATTTCGAGGTTGGAAGTGTGATAAAGGGCTTAGTTGCTTTTGAGGCCTGAGGAAAGCTCAGCCAAACAGCCTCAGGCTGAGACATTTCCCCAGGGCCACACTCTGCCTCTGGCCCCAGCAGCGGGGTGCGTGGGGGGTGGGGGTGGCAATGCAGCATGCGCTACACTGTTTCTGCTCCTCAGGAGATTGTACTTTTTCTCATAGACAGTTCTTCTGGAGGGACTCTTGTGACCCCACATCCATTTCCCAGGGTGTGTCTTGGCAGTATTTTAGCCATTTAATATTTTCAGGAATATGACTCTCAAATAGAAGGGTAGACAGCAACCAAATGAGAGAGAGAAGGCAGGTAGGCCGAGGGAGGGGTCCAGGTGAGGGGAATCCTCCAAGGGAAGGGAAGAGATGGCTGTGGCAGGGGTAGGTGGAGGCCCCAGGGAGGAATCGAGTGAGACCCAGTGGGGTTCTTAGGCCAGTTCCCCATGTTCACATGCTGTGAGGGCTTGGACGGCTACTCCCATGCCAGTGATGAGCTGGGCAAATAGTTTTCCACAAAGATAATGTTCTCATTCTTCAAAGACCAGAGGTTCTTTTAATTGTTGGTTTTGTATTCCCATTAGAGAATTTGAAGACAGACAAGTACCTTCTCCTCAGAAAAAAAAAGCACATAACTTCTCCCCCTACACAAAATTCTACAATTTCAGTTTTCCAAAGATTCCCTGAGGCCAGTCTCTAGTTCCTTTGGGGTCTGTCTGTATGTGCACTGTAGAGCCAAACCCTTAAATCGGGCCCTGATTTGGATTCCTAGAGTATTATGTGTGTATCTTTCATTAACTAATTTGGAACTACAATGACTATTTGACCCAGCTGCAGGCATATTTTGATGCCTTATAAAAATAAAAACTTCCCTTAATAATATAATCAGAAGGGAATATTTTAATATTTATCTTTGCCTCGGTTTTATTGAGATATAACTGACTTACCACACTGTGGGTTTAAGTTGTGCAGCATAATGACTTGACACATAATGATACTGTACAATGATTACCACAATAAGTTCAGTTAATATCTGTCACCTCGTGGTTACTGTTAACAAAAATTCAACTGGGTAAATTTACAGATCTAATTGGCTTTATTGGATGATTTATGAATCAGGCAGCATCCTATCCAGTAAATAGAGAGGTGCTCAGAGGAATTATACAAAATGGAAGGTTTTTATAAGCAGAAAGAGGGTAGGATAAGGAAACTGAAAGAATTGATTATTTCAGGCAGGTTTCCTTCTCTCAGGGGAAGACAGGGGGATTTACAGGCAGATGACCTCGCTGGTGCTGACCTGGGAATTCCAGACTCACTGGTTTGTAGCCTTTTTCCTGAGAAAGGCTGACACTGCACGCGAGTTAGGTAGTAAGTACGTCTTGGTGGGACTTAATTAAAGAGACTTCGTTTTGAGCTGTTGTTTTCTTTTTGACATTAAAAATGTTTTTGCCTTGAGATAGGAACTTTTTAAATCTACCATCTTAGTAACTTTCAAATATGTCATACGGCAGTGTTAGCAATAGTCATCATGTGCATTACGTCCCCAGCACTCATTTATTTTATAACGGGAAGTTTGTATTTTTTAACCACCATCATCCAAATTACCTCCCCCAATGCACCCAACCACCAATCTGCTCTCTTTTTCTATGTTAATATTTTTTAAATTCCACAAAAAAGCGAGAGCACCTAGTATTTGTCTTTCTCTGTCTTATTTCACTTATCATAATAAGCTCTAGTTTAAAGAAATGTTTTTAATGCATCAGTGCCTTCTACCTCCTCTATTTTTGGGCTTGTTCACCTTATGTATGGTGGGGGCCTGGGTATAAGGAGGAGAAGTCTGTTTTGAAAATTTAACAGTGAGTCAAGAGCTATTTTGGACCTGGGTTATTTACTTTGTACAGGTTTCTCACATGCAAACAGTCAGTTAGTAAACTAAGAGGCAACAAAGGCAAAACCGGATTTCTGTGAGAGAGAAGATGAAAAGATCCAGGAAGGGAGACCAGTGAATCTTGTTTGCACATTTTGTGGTAAAATGACGAGCTGGCTGCTGGCAGAGAAGTCAGTATGAGTTCTGTCCTTGAAAGAACCACCTGAGGGTATTAAGGGAAACCATTTTGGCTGTTCATTGGTTCCCCAGAAGACTTGGAGATTTTAGCTAAAGAGCACTGATTCTCATTGAGAGCCATTTGCACCCCCTTTCCCCCCTTCATGGATATGTGGCAATGTCTGGAGAGATTTTAACTTTAAAAAAAGATCTTATTTAGAAGTGAAGGGAGGGAGAGAAAACATCAATGTAAGAAAGACGCATCTATTGGTTCCCTCTTGCACACGCCCCAACTGGGGACCAAACCCTCAACCCAGGCATGTGTCATGGCCAGGAATTGAACCGGTGACCTTTCGCTTTGTTGGACAATGCCTAATCAACTGAGACATACCAGTCAGGGCTGGAGACATTTTTAGTTGTCACAGTTGGGAGTGTATACTGGATACTTATATCTAGTGTTGGGATTCTTCTTAAACATCTTACAATGCTTTCTACTACAAAGAATGACCCAGCCCCCAATGTCAACTGTGAGATCCTGTGGTAGGGCTCTCTGTGGAGTGTCCCAGGTCCTTGTGGGGGCAGCACCCCCTGAGTCAGGCCAGCCTCACACCATTTCCCTCATCAGAATTTCTCACAATATATGGTGTACCTTGTAAAAAAAACTGAAAATTTAGAGGTATTTTTATAGTGAGATTATGAAAAAAGACAATGTTAAAATGTCCTCAGTATCCAAAAGCCCTCATCAAATGTTTTCATGAATCATACCAAAACAAATGAGCAAACAGAGTGCTACTTGCTTTTTGAAAACGACTCAGAGGTGTGTGTGTGTGTGTGTGCGTATAGACTAAAGAGTAAATTTGTTAGGAATTTACAAATATTCCAATTTTATATGAGTGTGTATTCAAAACAAAGTCAAATAGAGGCATACATGTTTAAAATAAGCATGATTCTAAAATATTTAGTGCCTTTTGTTTGTATTTTCTTTTCAGAATGAAGTGGTAGAGGTCGGTCCCGTGTGTGAAAGCTGTGATCCCCTGAATCGTGGGATGAGGAGAATCCATTCTATTTTATAGGAAAAAAAAACACTGTGAATTAACATTGAAGGACTTGAAATGACTAGAGTGGTGGACACGGTCCTTTTTCTCCTGATTGTACATAGTTATGATGTCTAGCAAAACAGCACCCAAGAGCTGTTCTGGTTCCACTTTTGACAAAGGTACGAAGCCAGATGGGACGGGGTGACGGGGTAGCATGGTAGACCTTGCAGTGTGAGGCCATCGCTATTCTGGAAGCACTAGCTGTTTCCACCCACATGTGGACACCTTCTTTTTAGTGTTAGGGTAGACTTTCAGGCAGGATCCTGCCAACCTGTGCTGGTGGAGTGAGCCCAGGGAAAGGTTGCAGTAGGTAAGGGAGAAATGAGCCAATAACTTACTGAAATCCCCCTCCCACACACCATTATATTGGATCTACCTCTAAGCAAGCCTGTGAGAAAAAGAAAGGCACTTTATAGGATCAAAGTAGCATAGCTCTGTGTCTACTTTCATGACCTGTAGCTACATTTCTTAGGTAACCAGCTGTACGAAGGCACATTATCCGATGTTACTGTGTTATCTGTAGCTGCAGAAATAGATGTGCGTTTTTAAATTATTTTTGCATCTCCTCATTGTTCCTGTGGCTTCTGAACACCTAGCAACATGCTTCTCTGAGAGTTGAACACACTATCATTTTGGATAGTTCTTCCCTGTATATTTTCACAACCTTCCATCAGGGAGTCATTAGGACTCCTTACCATCTGCTGTAGCTGACACATTGGCTTTCCATTGCCCAGTGTCAGTGGCCTTCCTGTAGGACTCAGTATCTTCAGGCATTGACTGTGGAGCTTATTGAAGACGGTTATGAAACAGGAGAACCACTCTCTGAAATAAACTGTTGGGAGCTTAATGCTTGTTCATTTGCAGGGTGGGGGGAATATTAGTGAGTGGATCAGTCATTTGCAGATGTAGAGTTGCCTGTCATGAGGGAACAGAATATTTGGTTGGTTGGGAAAATTGTTTGCTGGGAATTTTCCAGGAGAGAGTTTTGTGACCCTATAATGGAAGTTCCTTTACCCTAACATCTCAATTAGATTGGCCTGAGGTGGAAGTTAGTATGAGGGGCAGCTGTGTATGGAGATGTGTCTGAGGTAGATTTGCCCTGACCTCTCTGTGACCCAGGACTCTGGTTATTGTGAACTTTCTTATTTAACTGGAAGATACATTTATTTTAACACAGTGTATCATTTTTGAGGATAGTTCCTCAAACTAGAGAAACAGGTGAATTATCCTTCTTCCTCTTTATTTTTTACATGTCAAGTGTAAGCTTCAGTGTATTTGTACTTTTTAGAAAATAATAAAAACTTTAATGGAAAAGGGTTTAAAAATATTTACAATAAATTATTTTTGCCTCTACACGGTTGCATTTACATTTGCTTCATTGATGTTGACGCTCCAGGGCCATGATTTGGGTTGGTATGTTCTTGCAGTAAATGATGTTGGAAGTGATCTTTTCATTTCCTTAAGGGCAGCTTCCCCTTCTGAAAGAATAAGATTGAACTGGGTTGGGCTGAGCCTTCTTTCCTGTTTCAGTGAGTTTGGGGCAGGTGCTTTGATTCCCCTGCACGTCTTTCCCTGGCAGGCCCTGGTGTCTGAAGGACCTGGGGCTGGAAGGAAGGGTTGGTTCATATCTGGGGTCAGGAGAGAGTTGGTTTTGATCTTTCTTCTCCTTTAGAAAGCACCAGGAAGCAAGTATCTTGGGTTGAGATTTGACCACTTACAAGTCATAGGGTTTTCCACAGGGTGGACTTTTTGGCCCAAGATGTGGAAAGAACTGAACTTTGTGACTAAAGCACTTTGAGAGGTTTGGAAAAAAAAAAAAGTCACTTACTGTATTTTGCCATGTATAATGCGCACCCACATTTTTGTGTGCATTATACATGGGATTATTTTACCCATCATTATACCCATGGTATGTAATCATAAACCCATGTATAATGTGAATTCTTATTTTTCCCTCAAAAATTTGGGCAAGAGAGTGTGCATTATACATGGCAAAATATGGTACATATATACACTTCTGCTATCAGAGGTGAATTTATTGGTCATCACACATTTTAGTGACGAGCATAATGCCTGATGAATAATAAGGTTTTAACACATATCTGTAAAATAACTGAAAGATTTGAGAAATAAAACGTCATTTTTGGAAGTCTCTTAGATATGGATAAAAAGAGTACATACAGCCAGATCAGAGAAACCTGCCTTCTTCCAACCCCAACAAAAATTCTATCTGAACACTTGATTCTTTTTTGCTTTGTAATTTAAATTAGTTCTGTAGACTTTTTAATGATGAGTTTTGCAGGAGGTTGTAGGAGACACCAGAGAAGAAGACAATAAGAAAAGAAATTCTGGTCTTACAGGGAGCCAGTCTCTACGCATGGGACAGAAGGGTCATGCCAAATCCCTGGAGAAGACATGGTCAGGGAGAAAACCCCAAGGTGGAATTGTAGGTTAGAAGCAGCTTGCCCTCCCTGTGAAGGGGGGCCCTGGAGGAGGGAGTGTGTACAGAGCATGCATGTTTCAAGACTTTGCCCCCTTGCTAAACACGGCAGCTGGAAGAGGGGCACAGGCAAACATGGCCAACACTGGCCCTCATTGGCTGCAAAGCTGGATGCTCCCACTGGCTTCCAGGGCACATTGGATTCTGGGAGAAGACTTTTAAATGGAGCCTGCTGGAAAACACAAGATCTGTTGGCTCATTCCTGTCCCTTGGCTAGCCTGGTCAGTCTCAGGGAGCCTGAGTTCCTGGGACTGGCGTGTTTGCCCAAGGCTGTGAGGCCGGGCTCTAAGCCACCACACACCTCCCACACAGCGGCAACACTAGCTGAACTGAGACCAGGAAACTGAGACCAGGAAGCCACCTGGATAATCCTGCTGCAGTTATCTGCATTTCATAAAGGATGGTTCTTTTAGGAGTGGGAAGAAGGATTTCAGGTGCATTCTTGAACTGGTAGTCGAGTGGCAAGGCTGTTTTTCTTGGGTATTTTAAAGGGAGCAGGGCTCTGAGGCAGAAACCTAACACCATTCCAAAACTGTATAACCTTAAAATAAACAACCACTTTTTTTTTTTTTTTTTTTTGCACCAAACTCCTGTCTTTAGAGTTATGCCTCTAGGTGGCAAGCAATAGAACCTCACTCACTGTTCTGGAACAGTATGAGGCTGTCTGGTAACACAGCCTCAGATAAAACAAGTGTGGACAGAAAGGAGCCACTTACCAAAGCTGACAAGGTCAAGCGAGGCCTGCGTGATGGCCTTACAAACTCAGAGGCCTAAAGTAACCACATGGGAATGTCTGAAGTTAAAAACTTTCTAACCAAAAGCAGGTCACAGTGGGCAGTCATGTCCTAGGCTAGAGTCTTCCCTGGTAAAAGTCAATCTTTACTTTTATTGAGCCTGTCTATTGTCTTTTTGCACCTATGATAACATATATTTGTAACGTTAAATTTTTTTTGTTCAGATCCCTCAAAATACTGGCACTGCACAAGAGGGGGCCACAGATCCTCTCATTGCTATGTTATTGTGTTAATTGTTGATTGTTAACTATTGTGTACCCACTTATGTAAAAGACGTACGAGGCCTGTCTGGAAAAAGTACAGCCATTGTTAATATAATAACGGTTTGCACCTCATTGATGTAATCTGGCAGCCAAGGTGAGTGGACTAGAATGTGCGTGCATGAACAATGACAACTTCACTGTACTACTCAGTGAGGGTGGTAGATGCTGTTGAGTGATCATGTGTACTGTGTGGCCACTGCATTCAAAATGACTGAGCGAGCAGAGCAATGGATCTGCATCAAATTTTGCATTGAACTTGAACATTCCTCCTTGGAAACTATTCAGATGATTCAGAAGGCTTTTGGGGGAGGATGCAATGAGTGCAGTGCAAAGAAAAGTGTGGCACAAATACTTCAAAGATGGCCAAGAATCTGTTGAAAGTGACCCGCATTGCCTGGAAGGCCTGCAACAAGCAGAAAACCTGAGAATGTTGAACATGTATGCAGAGGTGTCCAACCTCTCTTGGCCACATTGGAAGAAAAGAGTTGTCTTGGACCACACATTAAATACACAAACACTAGCAAAAGCTGATGAGCAGAAGAAAGGTTTTAAGTAAATTTATGATTTTGTGTTGGGCTGCATTTCTAGCCACCCTGGGCCTTATGCAGCCCACAGCCTGTGGGTTGGACACCCCTGGACTGTACAAACTGCAGTCGACAAAGATCAGTGTCTGACAGTGTGAGAACTAGAAGCTGATCTGGTGGTTCCAAAAACTACTGTGTCTGAGATTTTGACATAGGATCTTGGCATGAGACGTGTGGCAAAATTTGTTCTGTGACTTCTGCTACCAAAGCAGAAGGAACATTGTGCTGGGAGAACTGTGTGAGGTCCTAAGGTGACTGCCTTGAAGGGGACTGAGGCATCATTGTCCTATGTACAATGTTTCTTGATTATTGTATCTTCTTCAATAAATGTCCCTATTTTTCATCTTATATGGCTGGATACTTTCTGGACAGAACTTGTAGGTGTCTATCATTTTACTTTTTATCTTACCTTAGAGGTTCTCCCCCCTTTGCTTTTTCCTGCCTCCCTAATCTATTACCAATGGATTTTATGTAACTCAAGTACATCTTCTCTTTTGATCGTAATGTATAAAATAAGGCGCAAAACTGCCATTTTCCAGAACATTTTCTTAATTCATTGAGGTTTTGCTTCCTAGCAATTGTTATCAGTTTGGCTCAAATAAGCTCATTAAAATTCTTACAGGTTTGGACATTTCTTATGCTGACACAAGAAATAACAGAAAAAAAAAAGTGAGTTAAAATTAAAGAAAGACAGAGAAAAGAGTAGCAGTATAGTTTAAATGGAAAAATCTTTGCCTAGGAAGTAGAACATTAACTGATGCTGAAGCAGTGGTGGGATTTGAATAAAGAGGTTTGCCTTTTTTAATGCATGTTTGTGTCTTATCAGGATTCGATGAATATTCTCTCCTTTCCTATTTAGATGTGGACTCAGGGCATAAATTTCTGCCCTATTCAGAATCTGACCAGTGTTGAGAAAAATGGGAGACCTTTCTCTGTCTTCTCTTCTCTGCTCCTATTTCTGTTCCATGGCTTTAAAATAAGTTAACACCCTATTCATTAAGCAGCTGCATTCAGACACATCTTTTAAAATTTTTCTTTATGATTAGCATTAGAAGGCAGTCTCCTTCTCTTACAGTTAAGAACCCAAGGTCTGGAGAAATGGGAGGACAAGCCCAGAGCTCCCCAGTTTTGGGGAGCAAAGCTCAGGTCCCTGGGCAACCACACAACATCAATGGCCTGCCACTCTGATGAGCACCCCAGGCTCATGCTCAGCTCGGGGTTGGCTGTTGTCTGCGAATCCACAAGTAACAAGAATGGAGAGGGGGAAGGAAGAGTTGAGAAGTGTGATTGTCAGACTTGTGAAGACTGTCTGGGATTATGATGAAACTCAATCCCTCCCCAAGTGCCTTGCAAAAGCCCCGCTGTAGGAAAGGGGGAAGCACCTATACCAGCCTGTCTAACAGTTGGCAGAACTGAGGTATGCTCATATCCAGTGGCTTTCAAGTTGTTTTCTGAACACAAGAATCTGGCTTGGAAGAGAACAGAGTAGGAGTAATGTAAATAGACTATCCTATTCTCTAAAGCCTTCTGTGGAGTCCTGGGGCTTACCTTCTTACTGCTTCCTATGTCCTTCTGTCCCCGAGAATAGTTGTAGCACCTGTCACCCAAGGTTGTCCTTATAATGTCAGCATTTGAATTTATTGTCAACGGTAGATTTTTCTCAACTATTTTTACCCTTTTCATGTGCCTCTTTTCTGTTCTAAATAAGAATGTATTCATAGGCTTAGGGATTATTTATAGATGCTAGTTAAACGTAAAAACGGAACCACAGAGCTCACGGTAGCTGCATAAAACATGCCTCTGTGTACTTCAGCTGTGTATAGGCCTGAGACCAGCATGGGGGAGGGGAGTTTTCTGATATATTTGTGACTTGAAGGTACAGTTTAAATTCTCAGCCTCATTGTTTTTTTTTAAATCAAGAACAGGAAGGAATTTTTTAAACTAAGTTCTTGCATTCCCAACTCTTTGAAATTGTATACAAATATTGTGCACGTGCACGTGTGTGTGGGGGGTGTGTGTGTGTTACCAGTCGGGGACCTGGCCCTGAGCAGGTCTGCCTAGGGCCTGCTGGTAGTGTGTGTGTTTTTGACTTTGTGCAGGAAAGATTTCAAATTACAAGTCCAGGTAATTTTGAGAGCATGTTTATTAAACCTGGGAACAGTGAAACAAGGAAAGACAAGATAGAAGAAGCAACAGGAAAGGCACTAGATGGGAAAATAAGCCTAGGCTGAGCTGCTTTGGCTTACTAAGAAGTCAGAGAAAACAGGGTCCGAGGGCTAGCCTGGGATGAGCTGCCTCTGCCTATTCTTCCCTGGTTGGAAGCTTCATGGGGTCTCTTAGGGCTTAGGAGATGCATGCCTACCTGTGAGGGAAAAAGAGGGGGCAGAAGAGGAGGTAGGGAAAGTCACAGGCATGTTCCTGGGAGGGAGAGTGCACGCTGGGACCTTCCTTTTGAAGTTTTTAAAGGCTGGACGTTTAGGGGAGGTCTTGGGGATAATTTCCATAGAATATTCATCAAATTTATGATGATATACCAAAATGAGATTAATTCCCTTAACTTCATCTTCCTTTGGGTGTGGTTGGCAAATGGCACTAATTAGAATCCTGTTATCTATCTCCCGGATTTACCGTCTGGTTGGGGAGAAGTGCACATCATTTACTCTTAAGTGTCCTTGGTTTAGAAAAGATAGAATTTACTAAATGGCTACAAACCGCTTGTTTAACGATCTGTCTCAGTTTCTCTATTCCACTCGTCCTGGCTTACTGGATTGCCTCATGTGCATTTTCTGTGAAGAGGGTGCACAATTTTCATCAGAAATCCTGACATCTATGAAAAGAGGTCAGTATTATATACAGACATTGTAGGTATTTGAAAGCACTCCCAAAGGACTTTTCTGCTTAAAAGTAATTTTCTTTCATAATCCCTCAAATTTCATTATAAGAACAACTATTTTTGACTAAGCACTTATACTTAACATGCTCCTGATAAAAGGCATATACTGTCTCAGACAGGAAAGGCTTTCACAGGATAAGACACAACCAAATGTGACTTATATCATACTAAGCATATTTGAACTCATCAGCTTCCACAATAGCTTCATATCCCAGTGAAAATTTTCAGCACAAAACCCAGAATTTTGTGTTTCTGCCTTGCTTGAAGACTGCTGGGTGACCTGGGTCACCAGGCACATGAGCATATGTTTTCTTTACATCGTGGAGTTCTTTGTTTCCCTTTGCTCTTTGATATCATTTATTCAGGGTCTGTGATAAGTGATTTACATACATGAGATATAACTCTCCTGTTTATGAGTGAAAAACTGAGCCTCCAGGTTATATGCCCAAGCTTCCAGAGGAAGAAAAAGATAGAACCATGATTTGAATAATTGATTATCTCACTCGAGTCCACACTCTGTCCCCTAAGCCACACTAACATCTCATACTATATTCCCTACCACCACCCATGCCTCATGTTGAACTTGAGTGAATCTTGGCCAAGAGTCCAAGTTAGGGTTCCAAGTGAAATAACTCTACTAAAAAGAGGAATTTAGTAGAGGATAAGATATTAAGGTTTGATTGGCTTTTTTGCTGAAGACCATCAGCTGGCTGAAGTCTCAGCAAACCTGTGTTGAAACATCCAACCTCAAGCCACTGGATTTATCCTCATGCGGCACATATGACGTTTTATTTTATTTATTTTTTTGTATTTTTATTAAAAAAATTTTTTTGACTGTTGTTCAGTTACAGTTGTCCCCATTTTCCCCCCATTACTCTCCCTTGCCTTGCCTACCCTGACCCTCACATTCAATCCTCCCCCTCCATTGTCCTTGGAGAATATTTTAAATAACAAGATTATTTAACTTTGTTAGTTTGGGGAACAAAAACATTAATGAAACATACGATGCATCTACTGTTTGTCTTAACAAATCTCTTACTATTTTAAAGTCCTTAAAATTAAGACAGTGGCCATCAGTTGAAACAGGAAGTTGAGAAAACAGGTGTGAATATAAAAATAACCTAATTTGTTCATTGTTATTGAACTTACTCATTTAATTTGTGATTTAATATTTCCATACCATTGTATTGGTACTAGCTCTTACAAGTCATATTAACACCCCAACACATTTCTGTTTATTTCTTCTTAATTCTAATTATTTAGGGGAGGGTTCTACAAATGTGTGTGTTTTTTTTAAAGGGCCAAAAATAAATATTTTTGGCTTTTATTTATTTTTTTGCAGGACCTACAGTGTGTATCATAACAACTTAAATCTGTGGTATCCCCAGACATTACATAAGCATACATAAGCATATGGCTGTGGCTATATTATTCCAATAACATTTTATTTACAAAAACTGGCAGTTGGCCAGATTTGTTCCAGCAGCCACAGTTTGATGACCATTATTTTAGGGGATATATATGATTCTAAGAACGTTGAAGAAAAGAGGGAAAATAAATAGTTAGAGCATATGAGGAAGTGCTCATTAGAGAAGGGTTGTGTGTTTGTGTTATTTTCTTCATGTGGATATTTTATATATGACAGTATTTAATATGCACATACACATACACATAGAGTGGAGGCTCTTCTAAATAGTACATTGAAAAAATGCTAAATTGGGAGCTAGGAAATCAGTCTCCAGATAAAGTTCTGCCACTAAGTTGCAATGTTACATTGGGCCAATGAGCCAAAAAAATAAAAGTGGAATTAGAGAATCTCCAAACACTTTTCTCCTCTATCATCCTTTGATGCTATGATTTTCTTACTAAGACTTAAATACAGAGTTAAAAAATATACATGGACTAAAATTATGTAAAAGTCATATAAAATTTTGGCCTGGAACTTACTGATTTAACCCATGTAACCAACAACGCCACCAGGGCCAGAAAGTCAAAGGACACCACTTACAGGTACAGAGTGAGAGGAACATACAGGCGCCCACCTAGAAGGCTGTGAGTGAGGAGTTGGGCCTGTAAACACTTGTGGAAGGAGAGGACTCTTCTTTGGATACAGATTCCTTGTGACTTCAGAGGACAAGCCTGTGGATATTTTACACAAAGAACCTGGGCAGAGGAGCAGAACATTTTGCGATATGCGTAGCTGTAGGGGACAAGGGAGCCCCCCCCCCCGCCCCGCCCGCCTCTGAGTACAGCAGCCCATTTCCAAAGCCACTTAGAACCAAATATGGTAACTCCCATCTCGAAGGGTGGTGTGCAGGATAGTTGGTTGATTTTTGGATGTCAAACATTGAGAAGGATCTAAGAGGCCTTGTGGTTTACAAACAGTGTTCTGCAGAGACACCTGTAGAAGGGCTGTTGTGTGTATGTGGGGATGGGGGTGGGAGAGCTAAGCAAGCCTTTCTACCACGAGCTTTTATTTGCTGTGGTGAAACAAATTTTCATCCAACTGTTTCATTATAAATGGGAAAACTGAGCCTCAGAAGTGGTATAAGTGGACGTGTCTATCCCAGGATGTGAGAGGAGATTCTACTGGGTGAGAAATTCATATTCATCTTCGGTGGAAGGAAGATGCCTAGGGGTGGAAGGCATATGGAGAAGTGAGTAGTCAGTCTCAGTTCCTCTCCACAACTCTCTGGGCCTCTCGGCCTGGGGAAGGACGTTCTCATAGTACCCCTCAGCAGAGTTCCCTGACGGCCTTCTGAGGACTCTGTGATTGATGAGGGCATAGCACAGCTCCTCTGCAGAGCTCTGGTCAGCATTGTCCTGCTGGTCAAAAGAGAGCCATCGTCAAGACATAGCCTCTTGTCATTCTCTTTACACTTCAGTCTCAACATAGGCTCAACCCTGGGCAAAGTCTGTCTTCCACAAACCACATGCCCTCCATCTCTTGAAATTTGTTTCCCAAATGGCTGTCCCTACCGTAACACCTAACCCAGGCAGCCAGAGTGCTTATGCTGCCTAGAGTGTTCAGCATGCCTGGGATTCTCTCTGCCCCATCCTCCAGAGTAACCCCTGACCACTTTGTGTAATTCCCAGTCTCAAGGTCCTGAGAGCAGCCCATTCTTACAAAAAAGAACACTCTGATGACACTTAAACATGATTGATTGGCTTATGATATTTAACCATTCATTCTAGAGGCATTTGCATTAATATAAATGTAAACAATGCAGAGGAAGTCTCATTCAATGAAACTTCAGAAGATTAAAAGCAAAGTAGCAAAGTACACAGGAAAAAGCACATATTTGGGAAGGAGGCTTGGTTCTGAATCAGTCCCCTGCCATTTTGAAAGCTGTTTGGCTTTGGGGAGTTTCTTTTAGTCTCTCAGTTTTCTCATTTGTAAAATGGGGGAAAAAATAGTATTGATCTTAAAGGATTGCTCTGACAGGTTTATGAGACGATGCATGCAGAGTGCTCACCATACCACCTGGCACAAACTAAGTACTCAAAAAATATTTGTTTCATTCAATAAATAGTGCAACAGAGGTGGCCACTGCTCCTGCCACCAGGCCTACATATATCCCTCGGCTTACAAACATGAGCATCTAAAGTCTTTCTTTCATGTTAATATCAAAAAGGGTCTTGCAGGCCAACTTCTGCCATCTGGAGTGTCTACATTTTTATTGTCAACCAAGAAAAAGGCTTAGAGATGTTCATATTACCTGGCTGGTAGCAGATGATGTTCCTTCACCTGGAGAAAGAAAATACACTCAGTGAATTTCAGGTCATGGGGAGACTTGAGGGGGCAGGGATATAAGAAACCAGAGAGCCATGGAACAGTGGAGATAGCCCTTACCAGACTGCCCTGATCTATGGCACATCCCTGGGGAATGACAGGGCCATCTAAACGGGACACAGCCAGGGCTGTGCTCAGGTGGAGAGACTGAGTGGAGGGAGACCCATTCAGTGGGTCTTCGGTTATTCCCTCTCACTCTCTCCCCTCTCTCCTTCCTTACACAAAATTCATTGCATGTGCCAGGCATTGAGGAGACAAAAAGAGAAACACCCTGCATTTTAGGGGCTCACAGGCTAGCACAGGAGGCAGACAAGGGCCTAAGAGAGATCCATGATGAGGGGGAGGGTTGTAGTTTTTACTGTAGGTGTTGGGGGAGCTTGAGAGTGTTGGGGCTGGTGCTCAAGGAAGGCGTTGCCGAGAAGGAAACTCTTAGGCTGGGCATTCTCACTCCTGAACCTGCTGGCAGGTATAAACAGAAGCAGCCCAATTTTTCAAAAGCCAGTTTACTTAAAAGCAACTGGCTGTGGTCATTCAACAAAGAAGCAAAGGACGCACTTGCCACCCCCTTGCAAACACACTGGCTCAATAAGCATGTGAAATCCAAGCTTTCGCACAGAAACCTCATGATACCACCCTATACATCAGGTGGGTGTGCCCACGATCGTACGTGTATGGACTTACATTCCCTCAGCACTGACACCCAGATGCTCACATCTCCTCAGAGTCCCACGGCCACGTAGGACTGCCCTGATCATCACTGCAGGGAAAGGGTCTGTGAGTTTCAGCAGAAGAGGTCTTATTTTTACCATGTTTTGCTCTGACGCAGCTTGGGGTTTCCTAGGGACCAAGTTCCCCTGGATGAAATGGCCAGGGGTGGCAGGCCTGTATGATTCATTCACACACCTGACAGTGCTGGTTTCTGAGATTCAGAGTTATGAATGAAGCTCTCCTCTTTGAACCCAGGAAGGAAAAGGCAAACTTTGTTTTTCTTCTTTAGAAATGCAGTGGCCTGTCTTCAGGCCTAAACTTTCTTATTCCCTTTCTTACATGTGATTCCATTTACCACCGTCTCCCTCTCGAATCCTTCTCTCTCCCTAACGTCAGCCCTGCTGTGTCACCAGAGACCTTTGCATCAGCTCCTATGTGGTCTTCCAGCAACTGCATCGGCCACTTCCTACAACAATTTGTTCTCTACACAGCAACCTGGGTGATGTCTTTAATGCAAACATGGTTTTACCCTCCCCTTGTTCAAAGCCTTTCAGTATGTTCTGCAATTCTCAGGACAAAAGACCCATTCCTCAACTGGACCTCCAGGCCCTGTCCCTCCTCTGTGTTCTCTATGCCCAGGCTGGCCTCCTCGCTGCTCTTTCTGAGTGCCTCAGAACTCCACCTTTTGCATTTACTGTTCCCAGTTCACTCCTTCAGCTTCCAAACTTCGGGGACTAACTGAAGAATATGGAGATCAATAAGCCAATCCCTCCTTCAATGAGCTCACAGTCCAGTGAAGAAATAAAGATGTACAATTGGACAAATTGCAGCAAAATGTGTAAGTTTTATAGAAATATGGCCAAGGAGCTTTGGAAGCATAGAGAAGAGGAAGTTCGGAACTGTAAGTCTATCAAAAGTGAAAATGATGTGAAAGCAGTAACTTACTTTCCTTTGGGAAATCTTTTCTGGCTTTAAAAATGTGTATTTTTTTCCTGTAAAAGAAAAGAGGATTGATTGTTTCAATATTTAGAAACTCTCAACAGAAATTATACTCCCCATAAAAGCTTATTTTTAACTCTTTTGTCTGTTAAAGTTATAGGCCTTTAATAATATCTCCTTGAGCATAGGTAAATAGGAAGATAGAAAAAAAGGAAAAATGAAGGAGGCAATGTAGAATCTACTTTTTTGTGTTTCTCTCTCTCATCTACCTTTTGTAAGGCTGACATTAAATTGATCTATAGATGGGGAATTATGGTGATGTAATAGGCAACATTTTTGGAGCTATTTTTATGACAAAATATTGATTTCCTTCATATCATGTGAATTCAGGAGCCATGGTTATTTCCAATTCTGGCCCTAACCCCAACCTATGGTTTCCAAACAAACAAGCAAACACACAAACAGACATGTCCAATATGGGCACAGAGGTAACCACACTGTATAGACGACTCCCTGGAAAAAACACAATGTAAATGTAATGGAATCCTGTTATCGTCTCAGGAGTCAAAGATGACATCTTCTCTAAGGAGAATAACCATATATCCTGGTTTGCTGTAACAATCTAGTTAATGTTGATACTAGTCACTTACTGACTCTTGACTATTTTTAGCATCCTTTTCATTCTCAAAGGTTTCCCAGTTTGGATAATTACCCTGATTATAAATTCTCTGTGCAAGGGACAGAAATGTGTACTTCTGTACAAGGAGACTCTGAGATTTGCGGTGTGACTAAGGGGTCTTTCTCTGCATTAATAGCCAGTTTCACCCTTGCTTCTGAGGCTTTCTCATTTGAGGAGCGTGTACCACCCATGCGACTATTGTTCCTGTTTCTCAGCAAACTTGAAGCTTCGCTTCCCTGAATGACTCTCAAATGATTATCAGGGCTAATAGCAGGCTTCTGCTGTGGCCACAGACAGCGAGTAGTTAACAGGTAACTTACAGCAAATACCACCCTGAAACTGCAGTGAAGGAAGTAGCTCATGAAAAGAACATTCCACTCACCAAGGAAGGCAGAAACATCCTTTTGCGATGTGGCTGTCCCAGCATCTAAAATACCTGAGAGATGATACAAATCACAAGGTTAGCTTCTGCAGCTTTGTTGGGGTGACTCTCTTCCCTTTGCCATTTCTGTGAAAAATCTGTCTTTTTAAAAATTTTTTTCTGAGTATTCATTCTAGGTGACTTGGGCACATCTATCGTGCTAAAATGTTAGGCAATATTTACACAGGATTCCGCTGCACTCTGGATTTCACCTATACATACCATACTATAATTGCCTGCTCATTTCTGTATATCCCACACTAGACCATGAGCTTCACAAGGGTGGGGACCATATTAATCTGTTTATCATGGTGTATATCACCAACACATGCCACAGTGTCTGGCATATTGCAAATATACTTTTAATAAATATTTGATAAGTGAATAAGTAACTAAGAAAAGAGCAACTCTAACTTGTTCAGAAGATCATCAAATCTGCCTCCCTTGCCCCAATGTATGGCCAAACAAACAGGTCTTGTTATATTCTTTATGGTAGAAAGGCTCAAGGTCTCTCTGAAATCAGACATCTAGGCTGAAGTCTAAAGTATCCTCCTGGGCATCTTTCTGAATATGAGGCATAGTCAAATCCTACATGTTTGAATGTGAAAGCCTTTTATAAAGTACTATATGTTCCAGTAATGCTATGTGAAAAAAATGTTTGGAAAATGCCACCCCCTAGTAACTTCCCCTGTGAGCTTTCCCAGGAAGTTCCCTTAAAAGGGCAGTGGAGACAAGGCTGCTGCACATGACCTTGGCTGTGGGCACCAGAGCAGCTGAGTGCTCTGACAGCCTCTAGGGTCAATGTACAATCATCAGAGCCTTTGGGGCTGTAGTTCTTCCTCCTCTTCAGTCTACATTCAGGAACCTTGAAGCCATGTGTTTATATCTCCTGTTCCTTTGGCTAAAAGGATACCAGAAGAAAACCGTCAACTCACACCAGTGCTAAGAAATAAGGTTCACTGAAGAGATGTGGGAGTAAGATGAAAGGAGACAGTCGGCAGGGATACTGGATCATTATCCCTGGACTTCTTGAGCCACAATTTCTTAATCTATAAAATGAGGTTACTTATACTGCTTACCTCATGGAGGCCAAATAAAGTTAAATACGAGCTAATGCTATTTTTGAATTGGCTATTTCCCCCACTCAACTTCTCTGCAATATATTTTTGCATTTTAGTTAGGGTGTTTTGGTTTTGGGTGGGTTCAGATAACCTCTGTGAAGGAGGCCAGATGAATCTCTATGACACCAGGGTATGGGCTAGCAATTCCAGATTCCTGTCTCTTGCACTACATACTATATTCTTTCTTCATACACACGCACACACACACTACATATATACTACTTATACTATATATACTTATTATGTATAAAGAAATATATATAATGTATATAACATATACATTTTATGTTATATTACATTTAATCCCAGAATAAATCCATGATGTGGGTGCTATGATTATATTTTTTACCAGTGAGGCAACTGGTAAAAAATAACCATATTTTGTCCATATTGTAGACAAAAAAATTACGCAACTTGTCTGAGGATGTCCAACCAGAAAGTGGATAGAGTGGGTTTGCTTCTGGCAAATTTTTTTCTCTAAGCCTCTGAGCTCCTCTCATGAAGGAACAGGTGCCATTCTACCCAACTGGGGTAAGGGGGTGGAGAAATTTTCCTGGCTTTTGTAACAAATTTGATCTGGAGAGACATGGTTGGGGTGTGCTGATTGGATAATAGTTGGGTGGTAGGAGTAAAGTTGAAAACCAGATCCAAGTAAATATAAGACTTTTGAATATTTTAAGGGAGACATTTTAAATCAACATGGAAATGAAGATGCTCAGCCAACTAATTAACTATTTGGAAAAAAAATAATTATGAAGTATATCTGATACCATAGATTGATAGTATGAGGCTAAATCTAAAACAATATGACCATAAAAATCATAGTGTGGATTTGCCTTATATTGGGATGGGGAAAGAATTATAAGCATAAACTTGTAGAAACCAAAAAGCATTCTAGATTTAATTTAAATGTGTTTAAAATATAATAAGAAAAACATAAAAAAGTCTGGGTGGCACAAGACACACAGACTGGAAAAATATTTCTTTGTAATATTTATGAACAATGGTTAATTTCTTCAAAATACAAATAAGTTTTACTCTCAATAAAACAGAGTAGACTAAAATCCAAAACAAAAATGGGCTAAAGGTATTACTGACTCTCTCAGATGAAGGAATACAAATGGCTAGAGAGTATAGATATTGATATAAAGATAATGCATCTAAATTATCAGTAGTTATAATTGCAAGTTACCAGTTTATTTCTTTGTTTGTACTTTATGTGTTTTCTAATTTTTTATAACATGCATCAATGTCAAAAACTTTTGCCCCCACATCACAGTTATAAAAAACAAAATTTCAAATATGATATCAATCATGACTTTCTCAGTCACATCATATGTGTATTTTGTTTTATTTTTCTTCTCAGCAGTATTTCTTTATGTTTTCAATCATTCATCCAACACTTACTGAGTGGCTACTACACATCAAAAACAATGTCAGGAAACAGGGATTCAAAGATGAATGAGAAACAATCTCCACATTTGAGGATCTCATATGTAGACATAAAAAGAGGAATTTATAATATGATAAAAGAATGCTAGAGTAGCAGACTGACTAATGCCCATGAGGATTTGGGAGGAGAGGTCTCAGACATCGCTCACTGGCTCTCAGGGAGGGACAGGAGAAAATTCACAGGCTCACCAAGCCTCCTTTCAGCAGATGGCATTTTGGATTTTGTTCTAGCTCCCAGTGACATGAACTGATGAACTGAGATCTGGGACACCAAACATAATTCTACAAAGACACCCCGCCCCCAACCCCGTTAGCTCATTTTTCCTAGGTCACCTTGCTTTGTACCTTAGGGATTCCTTATTTTGGTGATACAATGGCTGCTATGATTTTACTGAAGATGGTGGTCCCAGAAAAAAAAATCTTCTAATTATTGAACCCTACTATGTGTCAGGTACTATGTACTAGCATTACATACACTATAACCCTCCAAAGTAGGTACTAAATTATTATTTCCATTTGAAATGAGGAAACTGAGGTCCAGAGAATTTAAGCCAAGTTTTCTACCAATTTCAATGACCTCTTGCAGGAAGTGTGCACCAGACTTAACCTCATAATGGCAGAAAGCTTACTATTTATTTTGAACTTAAACAGTGATTAAAAAGGTGGAGGTGTCTCTGAGCTCTTTGTGGGTCATTCAGAGCTCAGGAGAACATCCTTTCCTGGGCCTCAGAAAGCTGTTCCATTTTCCAGGTGGTGGTCTGTGGCCTAGACTGCCATTAATAAAGTGCTCCCCCTTTCAGTTGTTCTCCACCAGCTGCTCACTGTGGCCTGGGGTGAAGACCAAACTTGTAAGGAATTAAACTTTGCCTCTGGCAAATAGAATGCCCTTCAGTCTTGTCAGTTTCTTACTCTATTCCTTTTCTTCCTAAGAACAGGCCTTTTTCTTCTCTTTCTGATGCATTGCCCTGACACATCTCCTCCGGTCCCTCTTATGGACCCTGGACTTACCTATTTTCCCTCAGAAGAGAGTTCCCCATCCTCTCAGTTCTCTAGGTTCCTTCTCCTCAGCTGGCCTTGTGCTCTGTCAGGGCAGTTCCTGACTTAGAGATGGGGCTGTGCTGTTCTGGCCACCGGTGCAGACAGCTAAAAAGAGAACAGTATCTCTCTGCAGAGGGGAGGAGCCCAGGGACAGGAGAATCAGAGGTGCACACATGTGCAACTTCCTAAAATGTCAGAGCCTGAAAGAACCAGGTTACTGGTATTAACCAGAGTCATTGGTCAATGAAAGCTTTGTGTCCCTGGGGAAACCCCACCTGCAATTACAAACAGACCATGAAGTTTTCCCCTCAGACACCTACATTTCTTAAACTACTTTATAGCATTTGAAGAGTGAGGGGGGGAGATTTAGTTTTAAAACAAGAAAAGTTTAAAACAAATTAAAAGTCAAGCCACAGAGCAGTAGAAAACATTAGCAGAACTTATATCTGATAAAAAGATTTTTATTCAGGACATAGAAATAACTCCCAAAACTCACTAAGAAGAAAACAGGGACCCAATAACAAAACAAGCGAAATATCTGACAGAGACTTTACCAAAGAAAAATATACAATGGCCCCTGGCTGGTATGGCTCACTTGATTGGAGTGGCATCCTGTAAACTGAGAAAGGTTGCGGGTTCGGTTCCCAGTCAAGACCCATGCCTAGGTTGCAGGTCTGATTCCCAGTCAGGGAACATACGAGAGGCAACCAATAGCTGTTTCTCTCTCACGTCAATGTTTCTCTCTCTCTCTCCTTTCCTTCTCCCTCTCTAAAACCAATAAGCATGTCATTGAGTGAGGATAAAAAAAAAATACCCATATACAGATGGCAAATAACTACTTGAAAAGATGCTTAACACTTCAGTCATTAGGAAATATAAATCAATAAAGTACAAAAATAAGTACTTTTATATACTTATTAGAATGGCTAACATTGAAAACAAAAACAAAATCTGATAATACCAAGTGTTATCAAGGGATGCAGAACATTGAGAAGTCTCATGCGCTGCTGATGGGAAAACAGTGCAGCAGTTTTTCACAGTCTTAGAATACAATTTAGCAATCCCACTCCTAGATGTTTATCCAAGTGAAACAAAAAATGAAGGCCTCCAGGAAACCTGTAGGCAAACAAATATTTATAGCTGCTTTACTTATAATTGCCCTGCAAGCATTGAAGAATGGCTAATGGGTTGCACCTACACAAACAGAATGCTACCCAGAAGTAAAAAAGAATGAACTACTGATGTATGCAAGAACATAGCTGACTCTTTAAAGTATGCGAAGTGATGATAAGCCAGACTTAAAGCCTACCTTTTGTCATATTTGGGCCAGGACAAGGCAAAACCACTGGGACAGAAAACACATCAGTAGTGGCCGGGAGAAGGTGTGAGAGGGGTGAAACTTCAAAAGGCAGGAAGAAATTTGTTTTTTTGTTCTTTGATGGTGATGGCTACATGACTGTATGTATTTCTCATAATTCACAGAGCTGTATACCAAAAAAGGTACATTTTTATTGTATATGAACCTTATTTCAATTGAAAAATGAGGTTAAAAAATAAATGAACTTGAGGACAGGAATCATGAATTTTTTGTATTGTCTTTATATTTAATAGTTGATTCTAGTTTGGTCACTCATTTGCTCCTCCATTCCTTCAACAAGTCCGTGTTGAGCACGTACTGTATGATGGGCAATGCGGGTTCAGTGGTGAATAAGGCAGATAAAAACCTGCCCTCATGGAGGTCCTTGAAATAAAGTAAGAGAAAGTGCAAAATATTTTATTGCTTGTCATGGGGTAATATAGAGATCCTACAACAGTCAGGAGCAGCATCAGGAGGGGGTTTAGAGAAATTGGGGTACTCATTGTGCCATACCAGGCCTGTCACACATCACTTTTGCATCATAGCTGCTCTCTAGCCAGGAGTCTGTTGCTGTGGGAGATTTCCTCAATGGCCTCTGTATGTTTTGCACTACCTAGAGGTCAGCAGCAGGGAAGCAGAATGCCTCATCATTGCAGAGGAAAGACAAAATGGACAGGGGAGCTTAGCCAGTGAGAAGGGCTGTTGTTGACTCCTCACCAGGGTGAATTAACATATGCCCTGGGTGGGGCAGCTGGAGCAAACAGTGTACACTGTCTCCTGGGTGGCTTAATTAGTTCCAGTGTTGAACAAAGGCTTTTTTGGGTCCAGGGAGATAAGCTGCAGGAGTAAAGGTTGGAAATCAGTCACCATTTTAATTTAAGGATAGGCTGGGGACTGCTCCTTAATTTCAGACTTGTTAAACTCAGACCACTAGGGGGAGAAGCTGAACTATGGAAGTGTTAGCTGTTAATCATGAACATTTCTCGTGATTGTGTAAGGTGGCAGGATACTACACACATTTATCGCTGTGAAACTGACTCTATACTAAATAGTCTACCTCTGCTCCACAAACAAAAGTATAGAAACACATAATCCCCACACAACAACAAACTTTTG